TATCTGTAAACACAATACATTTTCCACACTAAATCAAATAATGTATGTATTTTATGTATGAATAAACATCCTACTCTAAAAACATGATATTGAACGCCTTCATTATTTGTTTATCGAACCTTTTACGCGCGGTCTTGAACCTGCAAAAGATTAGGTGCAGCACCGTATGGAATATTCTAAATGATGATCAAGCGAATGCATTTGCATGCACGGTTGCATTGCAAGTTCATCGCTGTACTTTCACTACAGACGCATCATAAGGAGGATTCTCTGTTATCGATTGAGACTGATACGGAACGCCTTGTGGATAAACTCGATATAACATGCGTGTATCCATGGCAACGCGATTAATTAAGTTGTAACAGAAGGAAACCTTTCCCGATAAACAGCGTTTTGTCTGGTATCATGGTCGAAAACGACACAGAGATTGTTCGCGTCGTAAAATCCGAGAAAAAGACGTTGCTCGAGAGGTATGACATACCGGTAGAGCACCTTTCGTACGAGTACATTTCCGAATGCAAGAACGCAAAAAAGTTGGAGCGCATAGTAACTGTACTGCGGTAAGTAATAATTATAAAATCGGCGGGGCTTTTAAACAACCGAATTGTTAAAACGTTCTCAATTTTCAAAACTGGCTTTATTATAAACAGTTCTGGCGAGGAAGGATACTATCCAGACTTGACAAAACATGCAGAGCAACACTTGGCTGTTATTAAGCCAGCGAGTAGAATTTTAAGAAAGTCCGAACCTGTCGTTAGACGCAATATGTTAGAACCGAGTGAATGTAAAGAGATTGATAAAGACATTAAGGAGTGGATGTCTGAGATGCAGATTCGAGAGAAAGATCTGGAAGAAGGGAAAACTAATATTATAGATCCTGTTCTTCAACCAGACATCCGACAATTTAAAGAAGATCCTAGAAAAGTAAATTAGTTGCTGTATTATTTGATTTAAATCTATTCTTATCTCAGTCATATATAATAATTGTCTATTTTTTCTTTGTATTAGAACAATTCCACAGCGAATTTAAAATGTTCTACCAATAGTAAACGAATTGCCTCATGCGATTATTCTGCTTGGGATAAGTACGACGTTGACACTGAATTAAATAAAATAGATATACGAGACGAACAACAGATGATCCAAACAAAAAGGTTGCAGCAGAAACAGAAAGAATTTAGTGAGAAAAAGAAACTTACGAAGAACACGATGATTAACAAGTGTATGTTACAAATAATAACATAGATTAGAAAATATAATTGGAGGATTAACTTTTCCTGAAATTGAGCCAAACGGAAGAAAATAACAGATGTCCAAACAATCCTCTAATTATCTTAAATGTTGCATTTGAAAACCCTTCATTATTAAAAGAAATTATAAAAAGAAGTACTCCGATGTCATTAGCATCGCTGACCGGAACTGAAATAGATGTGATGGCAGAACAGGAACGGGAAAAGGGAAATGAGGCGTTTAGGGCTGGTGATTACGAGGAAGCTTTGGAGCATTACAATACGAGCATAGGAATGAATTCAAACATAACTGCGTACAATAATCGAGCCATGACTTGTAAGAAAATAATTTTCGTACGCTTCCACGATCAATTCGATAAAAATAAATTATGCTACTTTTAGACATTAAACTTCGACAATACGAAAATGCTCTCAAGGATTGTAACATAGTAATCAGCATGGAATACATGAATATCAAAGCGATTCTTCGTCGAGCTGTCGCTTTAGAGCATCTTGGAAAATCGTCGCAGGTATTTACATGAAAATATATTTAAAAGCTAATTTTCTAATTGGATGTATAGGTTTCTTATAAAATACAAATTACTAGGCATTAGTAGATTATGAAGCTGTTTTGAAATTGGAACCCAATAACGCAGCCGCGATTGCTGGTGTAAAAAAATTAAGGAAACCTTGCTTCTCGAAAAAGATAAGGTATGACTAAGACACAGTTTAGAAAAACAAGATTTAACAGAAAAGTAAATCATTCAATTTTGGTATTCTTAGAATGCCCATCGAAGAACAAATAAGTGATACCGAAGAGAAATCAAAGTCTAATGGAACTGAGGAAAAACAAAAATTTATTCCACAGTCTAGCTCAATGTTAAGTTTATCTAACAGTATATGTTACTGCGATAAGGCACCAGGACCATCACAATATTTAAGGCCAAGGCCACACATCAAAGCTGACTATTGTCTCGAAAACGAGCAGGCAAGAACGAATAAAAATTCTGCTACAAATAAACCTGAAACTGGTCATCGTAAATATACACCAGAATTAACCAGAAGTCCAATTACGTCTCTCAACAATCTTTCCTACAATGTATCTAAATCTTTTCAAGATAAAGGATCTAGTTCTACTGCAAAACAAAAATCAATTTTCTCTTATACGAAACCCTGCAAACAAACAAATTCAGTCATTATCGAAGAATTGCCTACCGAGACCAGTGACAATGATTTCTTCAATACTATAGACAAATCGAACGACGAAATATTAAATCGAAACAATGTCAATGCAAAAGTTGCAAGTAAGAATGAAATTTCTGAGGATGAACAAATAGGAATGTCCAGTATTAAAAGTTCAAACACGAATCACGAACAAAGTCACAGTTCTAATGAAAAGAAATGCAAGAAATCATCACTTACAAATATAGAAACAGCAGATAAAAACAAAGAAACTGTCGAGAAAACGTATATCCCGAAGGTACATAATTGGTAATTAACTCATTCAGAGTCATGGCACTGTTTCAATTTCCTATCAGATTTCATTTACGTCGTTGCTACTTGGTCACTTATTAAATACATAAAATAATTCGTTGTTTAAGGAGTTAAAAATATAATCACGTACCTTGATATAATATGTTTCCAGGATATTCATAATATCGAAACTGGCTACGAATTTATGCGGACATGGCGATCATTGAAAAACGATAACGACTTAAGAGCTTGTGCTCAGTTATTAAGATCACTAAATATTGATAAATTAAACGCAGGTTTCTATTGCAGTAAAATATACTGTTTGTACACGTAAATCTTAATTTTATATGAGACGTTTCAGTTTTAGATAATGAATTAGATGGAAATATGATTAGTACTATTTTGCATTGTCTGGAACGACATTTCTGTACATCAGAAGATACGGAATTGTTGAATAGATTCTTAAGATCACTCAGTCAAGTGAAACGTTTCGAGCTTATGCGAATGTTTATGGACGATAAGGATATACGAGGTAATGGTAGTTCGAATGCATGCAACAAACGTAAATGTATGATTGTTATGGATACTATTTTTCCTTTACAGTTGTAAAAAACTTACTTACTTTCTTAGAAGAACATGGATCGCCGGGAGTTCCGTCATTACGACAAATTTATTTGTAAGAACATTGCACTCACATTTCACACTGAACACTTTTCAAATCATACTAACTACGTCGAATTGTATAGTAACGCTTCAGTACCAACTTGAACGTGTACTAGTCATAAAATAAAATATCCTATGATAATACGTTTTGCACTTGAACACGTTATTATATGTAATTGCTAGACGAAATCTCAGAGGATAAATAGAATCTAATATTGTAGTATGTATAATTACCTAATAAGAAATGTAACCTCAAAACCAGAGTTAAGAGAATGAGAAATTACAAAACTCGACGGTGCTCATGCACATCCGCCTAATGCTCGATCGTAATTGGTCAGAAGTTAAAATGCCCGGTCTAAAAGTTACTGTTAAATTCCTTACCTAAAGTGCATTGATATGCTGTATCATCTGGAACCTATTTCCCGCTCCTCGAAATCAACTCCAATATCCGTAAAATCTTCATAGAATCAGAATCCAGTCGCCAATATCGTGTTGCGTTATTTTTGTTACCATGCATGAGGGGCAGTGTATGCACGCGTCCAAGTGAGTGCGCACTCTGGCTTCGGTTCCCGACATCCGGACTCCGTGACTTTAGCGCTTCGTCAGTTGCGTACTCTTCCGTTTAAGCAGCTTGTGACATTTTTTTCTGTTACTACAAGATGTTTACTTGGATGAGCCGTGCGAATTTCGACGAGGATCCCGATAATTCCGCGTGCGAAGCCGCCATGGAACTGCTAAGGAGACAACAGTAACTGGAAGGTACGTGATCCGGCGTGGTTACGGACGGCCCGGGTATGTTTATAGCCTACAAACTCTGACATAGCAATGGCGTACTGTCGTCGTAAAGACCGTGCCAACAAAATTCTTCCCAGCCTTATTTAGCCTAAGTTTAATTGTGCACGCGGGAACGATAAGGTGTGAACGACGCATCGTGTGTGATAATACCGCTCACAGTACGAAGAACGATTTGCGGTTTTCGGTGGTGAAAAGTGGCGTTTTTTTGTCGGTGATTATATGTACCTAGTGCCTCGATTTTCCCTACTGTGGAACGACCGCCGATCGCCGAGCGGCACGCCATCCTCCTCTAGCTGACTGAGGTCTAAACTGTAAGGAGATTAAAAGCTATGTGGGTTCGAGCCGGACACGAGAATCCAGTGTTCTTTATCAATTGTGCGATGCGGTTTTTAGCGAAACCCAAGTTTTTCTCTATGAAAAATGATATTACTGTGAAAATTCATAATACGGTTATGGGAATAAGTGACACGTATAAGAATGATTTATGTGTTTTGCACATCACTTGTACGGACCATTGCTAACAGTTCGAGTAGAATTTAAACTTTTCACTTACAAATAATTTCTTAAACAAATTATCGATAAAAAAAGAATGTAACACTAACTAATTATGCATATTTTGGTGATGTTGAGTAACACTTACTAGTAAATACTGTTGTGAAATGCATATATCGTTTTACTAAAGATTGGATACCTGTGGTAGCACGCGTCCAAGTGAGTGCGCACTCTGGCTTCGGTTCCCGACATCCGGACTCCGTGACTTTAGCGCTTCGTCAGTTGCGTACTCTTCCGTTTAAGCAGCTTGTGACATTTTTTTCTGTTACTACAAGATGTTTACTTGGATGAGCCGTGCGAATTTCGACGAGGATCCCGATAATTCCGCGTGCGAAGCCGCCATGGAACTGCTAAGGAGACAACAGTAACTGGAAGGTACGTGATCCGGCGTGGTTACGGACGGCCCGGGTATGTTTATAGCCTACAAACTCTGACATAGCAATGGCGTACTGTCGTCGTAAAGACCGTGCCAACAAAATTCTTCCCAGCCTTATTTAGCCTAAGTTTAATTGTGCACGCGGGAACGATAAGGTGTGAACGACGCATCGTGTGTGATAATACCGCTCACAGTACGAAGAACGATTTGCGGTTTTCGGTGGTGAAAAGTGGCGTTTTTTTGTCGGTGATTATATGTACCTAGTGCCTCGATTTTCCCTACTGTGGAACGACCGCCGATCGCCGAGCGGCACGCCATCCTCCTCTAGCTGACTGAGGTCTAAACTGTAAGGAGATTAAAAGCTATGTGGGTTCGAGCCGGACACGAGAATCCAGTGTTCTTTATCAATTGTGCGATGCGGTTTTTAGCGAAACCCAAGTTTTTCTCTATGAAAAATGATATTACTGTGAAAATTCATAATACGGTTATGGGAATAAGTGACACGTATAAGAATGATTTATGTGTTTTGCACATCACTTGTACGGACCATTGGTAACAGTTCGAGTAGAATTTAAACTTTTCACTTACAAATAATTTCTTAAACAAATTATCGATAAAAAAAGAATGTAACACTAACTAATTATGCATATTTTGGTGATGTTGAGTAACACTTACTAGTAAATACTGTTGTGAAATGCATATATCGTTTTACTAAAGATTGGATACCTGTGGTAATAATATTTATAAAACTAACTTAAAATGTGATCAGTTATCAAAGAAAAAGAGGACAAATTTCATTTTGATAATGCTTCGAAACATTTTTCATGTGTATTTATTGTCTGTATGGTTTGTATAGATATGTTTAATTCATTAGAAAATAAGATCTTTAATCGTAGAGTGAAACATTTTTCATTTACTTTATTTTAGTATCATTAGGAGCTACATACTGTACTTCAAACTGCATATGAAATATTAATTTATATAATAGCTAAATTTGAGTAACTTCAGTTTTAATTACAGTTCCTGGAACATTTATTTTGTAATTTCCGTTGACTCATTGCTGTTAATTATGATGTATAGAATTTACGGTTTATGTACATTGCACATTCACATGTATGCAACTAGATACGTAGATAAAAATACTTTTATGCGTTTTAATTGCTTTATGAAAGTTGCAAATAATGTTCAATTCATACGAAAGGTAAAGATAATTTATAAAAATCTGTCGAGATTCTTTTTTGGCATACATTTGTTTTCATATGAAGATCATATAAATATAAATATACTAAGTTAAAACTGTTTTTTCAACCTATCTGTGCAACTTCCTTTCTCTTGTGTAGGACTTCATAGCAACACAGGCAGTAGTGGTGCCATGGATGATGAAGAGCGTCTTGAGGGTGAGGAAGAAATGGACTTAGATGAAGCCTCCGATGGTGAAGACGAAGACGAGGAAACAACAGGCATTCCTGTCTCACCAGCAACCTCAGATCAGTTGCTTGGCCCTGCACCAATAACTCCTGGTAGCAGTAAGTACACGATTCTTTTTTGCATCAACTTGTACGTACTGTTATTGAGTGATGGCATGTAATATTTTTTGTCACTACACAATATTATTACAAATGTTATATATCATTTCAGAGGAAGCACAAAAGTTTGTTTCTCTTACAGTAACCCCAGATGAAGCTTTTCATGATCCTTTAAGGTACCAGAAATTTCCACTCCCTGGAGCAAAACCTTTGAATATTAGACGAGGTCCGGGTAGACCGAGAAAAGAACGTCCACCTGGAATTACCCGCGGTGGAGGCGCTCGGAGACCTTTCGGAAGAGGGACTACCAGGGGCAAAGGGTTAATATATTTTTTTAAAACACATATAATCATTCATACGTGATATTTCTTTTTTATTGCATAATTTATTTTTTTTCTTTAGTCTTGGGTACGCAAGAGGTATACCACGGCGTACTAAGAGTAAAGACGATGACACCCATTCAGAATCCCCAAGTCCTCTTCGTCTCAGTGAAGATGTTGCTCCTGATGGAGAAACATCTAACACTGAGAGATGCATGCCGGCACCAGAAGAACCACCATATTTTCCAGAGCAGTGGTAAGGATATTTAATATCTTACTCTAATCTTTCGAGTAAAACTGTTTAACTAACTGTAAGTAGGGAATTTTACTAGCATTAGGGGTATTAAGGCAAACATTTCATTTAGGCCAGGGAAAGTATGTGCTTTATGTAATTTGGGTGAGAGGAGTCAACTAGGTCAAGGTGAATTGTTAAGATTTACCTGTCCTGAAGGTTTCACTCCCGAAAAGCCAACTAATCGCGACGATACAACAGATCATCTTATTGATATATCTACTGGAGATAAAAGTCCACGTACAGCAGGCCCTGGTGCTGTTACTTGCCGGAGGCAAAAGAGTCTAGCTAAGTGCAGGTATTTAAATTATATCATAGTATTAAATGTAACAATCGATTATTCAACTGGATTAATATTTTCTTCTTTATTTCCAACAGAAATACTAGTCTAACAAATTTTTCGGAACCAGTGGAGGAATTAACCATAGTGGGATATTCTGAGGAACCAGAGATAGGAACATTATTTGAATCTACCGGGCACTATTACGTTCATCAATCTTGTGCTGTATGGTCAAGTAACACTCAAGAATTAACAACAGAAATACTGAGTCCAACAATAGTTCAAGCGTCGTTAAGACGTTGTGCTTACTGTTCTCATTATGGAGCTGGAATTCCTTGCAAGGTCAATAGTTTTCCACGTTTTCAAAAATCATTTCTACGGAAATCATTCTATATCGGAGAGTAATACGTGTATGTAATTGTTTTCTAAATAGGTGGCATCGTGCAATCGTTATTTTCATTTACCATGTGCTGCGGCTTCGAGTTGTTTCCAGGATACAAAAAGTATGTCCCTCTTTTGTAGTCAACATCTGGGACAGGTTCCACTTATGTGTAAGTACATGTTTTTGGGTGCGTTAGATTTACGGAGTTAGTGGTACATATTTAGATGTGTTGTATTTCATTTTAGTGAACGGTGATGTTACTTGTATGCAGTGCTGTGGGATGGGAGATGTTTCCAACTTAGTAATGTGTTCCATCTGCGGCCAACACTATCACGGTGGCTGCGTTGGTTTAGAACTATTACCTGGCGTTAGGGCTGGCTGGCAATGTGTATCTTGCAGAGTATGTCAAGTGTGTCGTCAACCGGAAGATGTATCAAAAGTAATGTTGTGTGAACGTTGTGAAAAAGCGTATCATCCTAGTTGTTTACGACCAATTGTTACATCTATACCTAAATATGGTTGGAAGTGTAAGTGCTGCCGTGTATGTACGGACTGTGGTTCGCGAACGCCGGGCGCCGGTCTATCATCACGGTGGCATTCCCATTACACTGTATGTGATTCGTGTTACCAACAAAGGAACAAAGGTTTTTCGTGTCCTCTTTGTAGAAAGGCATATCGGGCGGCCGCGTACAGAGAAATGGTTCAATGTAGTGCATGTAAAAAATTTGTTCATGGTACCTGTGACCCTGAGGCTGACCCGTTAACGTATCAGCATCATAAAGAAGCTAAGCCTGACTACGAATACGTTTGTCTACACTGTAAAAGTATGGCGATGGTGAAGAGGAAAGATAGTATTGATGATTTTGGTGGAGATTTGAGTTTAAGTGGTACCCAGGACAGTCTGTACGGTGATGGAGATTCGTCAGAGTTTGATTATCAGGGAGGATCAGAGGAAGCATTGTATTCTATAGGTCTTGGGAAAGGAAAACCATTCTGTGCATCTAAAATCGCGAAGAAACGATTGGGCCTCGGAGGCGGAATAATCGGCCGACCGAAAGGAATTGGTAAACTAGGATATCAAAAACGACAGAAGATGACAGAATTTGGAAGGAAGAGAGGTCCAAAAGCGAAGATGCGAGGTATTTTTGGAGTACCAGGCGTAGGATTGCAGGTATGGCATAATTTTTATTTCTTATATGGGATATCAATATACATAGTTATTAATAAATCGTGTATACAATTTCAGAGGCCAGTGTCGGACTCGTTTTCGAAAGAAGATGAACCAGGCATTGAAAACAGACTTGTATTATGCTCTGCGAAGGATAAATTTGTACTGACTCAAGATATTTGTGTGATGTGCGGTGCAATTGGCACTGACCAAGAGGGGTGTTTAATTGCCTGTGCACAATGCGGTCAATGTTATCATCCTTACTGTGCGAACGTAAAAGTTACTAAAATAATTTTACAAAAAGGTTGGCGGTGCCTTGATTGTACAGTGTGCGAGGGTTGCGGCGAAAGGAACGACGAGGGTCGTTTGATCTTATGCGACGATTGTGATATCAGTTATCACATTTATTGCATGGATCCACCACTGAATTGTGTGCCTCACGGCACTTGGAAATGTAAGTGGTGTGCGCACTGTCAAACATGCGGTTCAAACGATCCAGGATTTAATAGCAGTTGGCAGAAGAATTACACGCAATGCGGCCCGTGTGCATCACATTTTATCTGTATATCCTGTCAGGAAGCATACAATGAAGGGGACCTAATTATACAATGTATCCAATGCGAAAGGTGGTTGCATTGTGCTTGTGACTCGATTAAAAACGAGATAGAAGCTGAGAAATGTGCGGAAGAGGGTTATATTTGTATACTTTGTCGTCCGAGGGATGTCCCGCCGCCGCATCTTTTATCTGTTCTACCTAAGCCACAGCTAAATAAATATCCTCGTTCACCGCCACCAACATCGCGCAGTCCTGATCTGTTCAAACCTTCTCCTCAACAGTATTTGGTTGACGGAGTTTATTTGTCTGAAGCTGGCATGAATCACATAAAATCGTTGACGTCTGAACACCAACAGACAAGAAAGAAGAGGAGAAAAATGCACCCTTTGATCGACAAGGAAGCAGATATAATGGCTACGATAGAATCGGTAGTGGCTGGTGGAAGCTTAGACAATTCCTTAGAAGAAAACGGAGGGAAACTAGATTTAGATGTGAAAGACGAACCTACGGAGGTACTCAAGGAGGGCATGGTATGGGCGTTGCGTGACCAGCCACCACCCGAAGGTTTTAGTATCTATACAACTGAGAACGGGATACCGATTTTAAGACGCAAACGTCAGCGTAACTTACAAAAGTTGGGGATTGGAGGTTTTATCGTCAGGCTGAGAGGCACTCGCAAGGATAAAGAGGAAGAGGGAGATCCAGAGAAATCGTTGGATTCAGTGGTTGGTGTAAACGATGATAAACCACGCAGGAAACCACAGAGAAGAAAACCAAAGACAAAACTCTCTGAATGTTTTCCTCTCTATATGCAAGAGGCATTTTTTGGCAAAGATCTTATGGACACGACCAAAGACAAGGAATTGGAAAGCAGCAGCGAGTCGGATAGCGAACGAAATGCGTCTGCTAACGCAGATACTATTCAGCTGTCTCAAGATGAATTAAAAGCGATGGAACAAGTTAAGGCGAAGCAAGAAAAGGAAGAGGAAAAAGTACCTCCAGAAACTCCTATAAAACGGGAAGAAATTATGGATGACGAAGGCAGTGATCCAGAAGCTCTTGGCGATATCTTGCCTATTTCCGATGATTTACTCGATAGTGATATTGTTAATACTATAATGAATGAACGAAACGAGGACTTAACTAAAACTAACGAAGCGCCAGATGGATTGGATGACGCGCCAGGAACAGCTAAAGATGAATTGACAGACATTCTTAGTCCGCATTTCAATTTAGAGTCCATGGTCAGAGATACAGGTAAATTATTTATTTTCTCTTAATCTCTTTTGCAATAACTGTAACATGTACTACTTGCTGTGCTTTCACCAGGTATACCTAATATGGACAGTAAGGATATCGAAGAAATATTCAAAGGAGTTCTGACGGATGAATCTCAAGAGTCTCAAGAATCTTCTGTCTTTTCTGTTCAAACCCAGCCTCCTCATCCTACATCATCTTCGACAACACCACTTGTATCACCTTCACCGCATCCTGGTAAAAGTTAGATTTATCAATTCAAAAACTATTAATTTCCCTTGTACAAATAACTTATTGGAGAAAATAAAATTACAGGTATGCAAAGCACGATGCCTATAGCAAGACCTCAAATAGCTGGGGCACTGCCTTCTGTTGGACAATCTAATTTAAGTTCTCCTATGAGTTTTCCACCGCCCTCACCGTATCATTCGGAGTACAGCAACAGCCCTCAGTTCAGTCCAGCTTTCTACGAACCACCAAGTCCATGCGTCAATCCTGATGATGAAGGTACATCATCAGCAGGCAATACTACAATCTCGTACAACCAAAGAAGTAATCTTAAAATGGAAGCCGATGAAGCTTTAGGTTCAGGAGCAACTATATCTTCTGTGCTTTATGCAAATATCAACTATCCTGATTGGAAAACAGAGTATCCAGGTGTGTTGCTATTATCAGGACTTAATTTAAACTTGTTTCAGGCATAATTTTAATTTCAATAATCATATTAATCGTACTTAATTAAAATGTTCAAGCTTGGTCAGATAGATGTAAACAAATACTGAAGAAATGGCGTGCGCTACCCAATGATAAAAAGGCTCCGTACCTAACATTGGCGCGAGATAATAGGGCTGCGATTCGTATGAAAAAGACTCAACAGGTAGGAAAAATTTACGTAATACTTGCGATCATGATATGGGTGCTAGAGAAGCGTGGATCTTTATGTGATACGTATCCAATTTCGTCTTTAAAGATGTCTTGTGCTAACACACAGGTCAAACTAACAGCTTGTCCTTTGTGTCCAATACCTATACTTAAGTATGTAAAAGTTTTATTCACTTGAAGAAATTTAAAGAAAAGAGAAATGACATTGTATAAGCACACTAGAAATTACTCCATGTAAACATAAATATCTGCATCAATTTATAACACGTCTATATTGGAGTATATCTGCTGTTTTATATTGAACATAATTATGCAGTTGCTTTACCCCTACTATGTTAATCACCATCATGAATGTTACATTACCTAATTATATACGCGTCGATACATATTCCTTACTTACATTACAAATTTAAATCATCATTGTTTTATCGTAACGTTGTTCATATCTTCGGTCGGATCATGTTTCGTTAGATGCTTAGATGCTAATCTGATACTTTAGGAATATAAATTTGAATTTAGCTTTTTTCTCCGCCCTGAATAGCCTCCCCTCAAGTTCCTCAGAGACCTCCCAGAAACAAACTAAATTTGACACATTTGCCTTTGTATGATGCATTTTCAAAATATTCTAAGCCATGAATACTATGACGTAAGTGTGTGAACGAGGCACCCCTTGAACCGACAGATATCCAAGGATATACCAAGCACGACCCCAGTCACTGCAACAAGTGCACCTACCATCATCACCAAACCTGTCACAACTATGACATCAGCTCAAGTTTCTCCAGTAGTAGCTATGGCCTCCAATCAAAGGCAGATCGGACTTTTGGCCTCGGTGGGCAGTGAAAAGACACAGGATAAGAGCGGAATGACTGTGTCTACGACAGGAGTGACAGTATCGACGACTAGCAGTAATCATCATGCGGAGGTGTGTGCGGTGCAGGGACCGCCGAAGCAGCTAACATCTTCTTCCCCGAGTCCTTCTCCAACATCCACGACACCCTCTTCTTCACCCAGGCCCAGTTCTGTCAACTCTATTAATTCCATTAACAGCCTGGCGCACCAAGAGATATCCGGTGGTAGCCAGGCTAGAGTAGCTCAGTCGCCAGCCACGCCTTGCACATCAGCAACTGCTTCTTCTTACTGCAACACGGGCGCCGGTGAAGGGCAGCATCAAACGTCACCATCCCAGCAACGTCCTACACCTGCTCACATTACGATCAGTACCAGTACTATCGCTAACAGTCTGAGCATCTCTCAGCCGTCCCCCACTACCAACGTTATGGTGGGGGTAGGTCCTGTACGCCAATTATCCTCGGTAGACCACCAAATTAGAGTGCTCACCCCATCTGAAATCATGCGCACCCTTCCCTCCCTCAGCCAGGAGCACTACGATCCGCCACCCACTGCAATTATTCACACTGTACCTGTACAGTCCCCGGCTATGGTGAGCCACCTATTCTGTGCCTCTAGTGTCTTGCCTTGTGCCACATGTCTGATCGACATTTAGTGTTCCTTTTATCTTTTTTTTAAGTGCAAAAATTTTATCATTATGTTGTGCAACAATTTAGTTATGTATTGTTACCAAATACCTGAAACACGCTACGATCATTTAATTCATATTGTCAATAGAATAGTGTTTCAGAATATTGGTGTCACGTAACTGGCTTTGTATTTAATTCTATATTATCTAGTTGGATGATCAGACACCTCAATGTACATATGAACTTTCTCAAATAGATTATATTAGATTCCAGTCTCGTAAAAATCATTTTTATTTTGCGCAATTCATTATACTGTCTGCGGCATGTTAAAGACAACTGGTAGCACATTTTTATTTCTTTATTCCTATCCTTTACGTTCCGAAGATTATTATATAGATATACGTTTCTCCCTATCTACCTACATAAGTGTATTGCTTTTTATGAATTGCGTTATTGGTAGATGTTTGTCGTAATGTATTACACTACATTTTATAGAAATGTTAGCCATACTAACTTCTGTTGCATTGGAATTTTCAGACACCCTTAGTAATTCAAGTTCTTGTACTGAAACTATTTAGTGTTATAATCAATTGTTATTTATTGATATTTTAATAACAAGGTGATTTTTAGCTGCTAATATTATAATTAATTATGATTCCAAGTGTATACAAATTTCACTACATATGAGATGAAATAATTTTTCTTTTTAATTCATTTGGTATGCACTTCTCAGAGAAATTGAATAATTTATTAATATAAAATGTATTGCATGGAAATTATTATAATTTAATCTGAGGTGAATGTTTTTGGGTGTTTTGTGTGGTAAAAAATACATTTTTTTCTTTCACGTGTATCTTTGATTAAATAATATTTATTTTAGATGGTGGCTGGTTATGATTGTTGCACATGCAACGATATCAAGATTTTGCTAATTATATTAATTTAGTAATATCTCATTATTTTACTTGAATGTTAAACTTGAAGTACACTTTGGCTGATTGTCAATTTGCCTTATCGTATACTTTACATCTGCTTCAAAGAAAAGAAATGGATCATTATATTCTTTGATTATCTAATTACTAAAGTGTGTGAAATTCTTGAATATAGATTGTACTATTGAATAATTAATTCTATTTTCTTTTAATAAAAATGCCGGCAAAGATATAATGATCTTCTGTTACAAATAATTCGTGAAATCTAATAAAACCGTTTTTGGCAGGAGCAAGAGAGACTTTCCAATAGAGATCGTTCTAGCAGAGAAGCTGAACAAGAACGTCAATGGAAACAGTTACAAGCACTGCGCCAACAGCAAGCACAGATTCAGCAACAAGTTATTCACGAACAACGTGTACATGGTACGAAAATTTAATTCCGTACGTCACATGTGATCTTTGTACCTTGTTTTTGACCACTGAATATTTCTTCTATAGCTATCACTAGAGTCCATAGACAAATAAGTGACGATAATACAACTCAGATAAATGCTGACAATACTACAGGATTAACTACTCAGTTGCAAGTATCCACATCACAGGTAAAATTATATTTTACAACTTTGTAAGTGTATTCTCCATAATGTAAAAGACGTTTTTATAATTATTCTACGCGATCTATTTTATAGGACGGAAATCATATGGGACCATTAGCTTCACCGTCGCCTGGATCACGCAACACATTTGCAACCCCTCCTGTGAAAGTTACGCGAGGTTTAACGCCTCAGAGCCCTCATCAGGGCATACCACGTTTACCCAATCAACCCTGCCCAACGATGACACGACCAGTTGGGACTGTGGTCAGACCCGGAATGCCAAATAATTTTACGCAACCACCGTCTCCGTTTTCTCCTCAAGCGTCTCAGTCTCCTCATGATTTCCCACAATCTCCGGCCTCGTCGCAGTCCCAAGATCATTTCCAACGATTTGACAATACCGAAGCTTACTCTCAAGGCTCCCAAACACCGAGGTCACAAATCGCTGGCACACCGTCATATTCCACGTCGCCTAGGAGTGACGTTTTCCCACAGCCTCCAGGTACACCGCGGCCTATCTTTAACACTCCTAGTACTCGACCGACTACTCACGTATACGCACCATCTCGTACACCTGACCCATACAGTAGTCAACCTCCGACGCCTTCTCCCACTCCGAATTACTCCTCCCCAAGACCAGAATCACGGCAAGATTCCCAACCACCCGAGGTTTTCAATCAACAACCAGAAGTGAATAGACAATTGCGTGATCTTTTACAAAGACAACAGTTTAGTAAAAAACTGGAACCCGTAAGCACTACGTGGAATCAAGGTACAAATTTTGATATCTTATTAGATAGATTGTTTTAATATTCCATAAAGTACGAATTTTATACATGTCTTAATTTTTTTAGATGGGCAGAGTAATACGGAGAACAATCAGCAGCAGTTCGACGCAAGTCACGTGCAACTTCCTCAACACTCTCAAGCATCAAGCAATACCGGAGAAGGCACTTTCAGGCATCCTCTTCCGCCTGGTATCGTCAGACCTAGGATGCCCGTTCAACCAAATGTTCTAATAAGAGGTCAAATTGGTAAGTGTCATTTTACAATATCAAATATATATTTTATGTATTTTATTTCACCGATGTTATTGATATGTATACAGGGTTAAATACGAGACATCCTGTACCAGGAAATATGGATGCCAGAGTACAGAATATCGATCCACGTACTAGAATGATCTTGCAAAGACCGCAAGTAGGCGCAACTATACCTCAACAACATTTCCAAGCAAGTCAGACTATACAAACACGAATGCCAGTTGCGAGAAATTCTATTGCAGAATCGTTCGACGTCTTACAGCAACAAAGATTTCCAGGTGCATCTATTTTCTCTATTATCTGTTAGTATTTTAATATGAACATGTATTTAATTAATAATATTATGCTTATAGATCCCAATCAAGGGCAAAATATAGCGCAACGCATGATACGGACACCTCAGGATAATTTAAATCAGGGAATCAGAATGTTGGGTCAACAAGGAGTTGGCATAAGAGCACCTCTGATACCAACGACAGTTAGTGAAACTACGGTTAGCCCTTCTGAACCATCAGAAATTCCTGATAATGTCACGGCAGAGCTTGAAAAGTTGGAGCAAGAGGCAGCACCGATGGTCGAGGTCGAGGACGTGAGTGCAATATTAGGAGACCTAGGCGATGATGACGATGAACTTCTTGGTATGTAAACTATTTGATCTGTCGTTTCTTCCACGCTTTATAATAGGCGGGAATTTTGTATTTTTTGTTATATCCTTACAGCTGAAATGGGAGCAGATTTTAATATTTTGGAGTATGCAGACCCCGAATTAGATAACATTGCCGGGGGCGAGAAAACAAACATATTTGATTTAGACTTGGAACAGGTCGAGGTAGAGACCAAAGATGAAAAACAGAAAAAGGAAGTTAAAGATGAGGATCGAAAACCACCAGAGTTAGGCGCGACCAGTGCGGTGCATACTGATATAAGTGACGCGAGTACGACCACTACGGTCCAAACACCGACAGAGACATCCAACGCTCCGACGCAAACACAAACCGTGACTCCAATCTCTGCAGCATCACAAACGCCACAGCAATCATCCACGGTTATGCCCCAATCGCATGCTCAAGCCGTGGTTGTGCAGCAACAAATGCATCAACACGTACAGCAAGCCGCGGCGATGGGTAGACCTATGCCTCCGGGAACTCGGCTGCTTTCGCCCGACGGAGCGGTCGGTGTCGTCACATCAACTAACACCGTTACGGTCAGTTATCCGTCCACATTCCCTGGACATCCTCAGAGGATACCGCAAACACATATCCAAGGTACGCATCTTTTCAATAGCGCATGATTGTACGCTCGTAGATTATCACTCGAAGATTCAAAGCAATCTTCACTTAATAATTATTTTTATAATTGCAGTGCCACAACAGCAGCGGCTTGGTATGAGAGTAACAGGTGTGCCAAATGTGGCTGGCAGAGTAGTTGCCGTGAATCATATGATCGGTCCTCGTATGCCACTTGCTCCGCCACCGCCTCCTCCGCCGTACCCCGGACCCCCGCCCCCTTATCCTGGACCTATACAGGTTTGTTCATGTTACACATATTCTCGATGTTCTGAAGTTTTTGCATCGCTTTAATCTTGAGTATTTTTTACGCAATTACAATAACACTTTCTTCTAACCGCGGAAATATTAAACATCTCGTAATTTGTCAAGCAACGAACGCTTCACAAAGTATATAACACGAATTACAAAATGCTCACCTTCATGACAGACATTGGATATAACAATCTTAATTTGTCTTACATGTAAATTCTAGAATCCGTTTTAAATGATTTCTGTACACGTTTTGTTCTCCTTATATCTCGATAATTAATTTGATATATGATCACGCGGTATACACGATTTCAGAAGAATATGTTTTTACGAAATACAATTTCTTAGAATCTTGGATCTTAATGTAAGTGTGTGATATAAAGTGTCGAGTTTTGTTAAATATAATTAAAAAAGCGAGAGGAGGAGATCTCGAATTTGCTATGAACGTAGGAACGTAGGCAAGTAATTTATTTAATATAAAAGTATTGGCTGGTAAAATGGTGTTTTCGCCTGGGTGTTTGCAATGCATTGGTGTTGGTGCATGTCTAGATGGGGCTGTGCCCAGGTGGGCGGGGTATGACGCGGCCCCCAGTCCATATAGGGCACCCAGTACCAGTGGCGGGTCCACCGATGGCCCCTGTGGTACATACTGGTACGCCCGCAATGACACCTCACCCTCACCGAAGACCCTTGCTTCTGCAGGTGAGCAAGACTTGGGGACTTTACAGCATTCAGCACATTCTATCACCTGCAGTACTCAAAATCCAATGATTCTACTGTGCAGATTATATATTTTTGCACCATTCTCTCTTTTCTCCTTTTTTTATACCACGTTATGACAGGTGATATTTATTCTGAGAACGATAGATGATAAATTACCTTTCCCATTATTAGAATTTATTACTGTCATCAACATGCAAACGAAAAGTAGTAATACACGAAAATGTATGAGAAGTCTATAACTTCTAATTAGGAAATTATTCAACAAATTATTACATATAATAACACCAGTAATAAAATGTGTTGCATTTTTATGTGTGCATGTATGTTCTAAATAGGAAGACATTAGGCTTCATCGGATCATGTATTATTACAGTCTTCAAAATTTTGTGCTTATCTTTCTACATTAACATTCTGTCTAAATGATATTTGTGTTAATGACAATTGCTGCAAAAATAAGATTTGCATGTGTGTAATTTCTTTTAACTAAGATGATAATCCTCCCTTGTTTCAGTACATAATAATTTCACGACATATGAACTCTATGTAATAACGCATAATGCAATCCTTCCTTCAATGAATTAATACATAGTTCTGCAATATCCTGTTAATTAATTAGAGATTTGATAAGCTGTCAGTAGTCGTATTCACAGGAACAACCATTATTGCTGGAGGAATTGTTGGAGCAGGAAAAACGAGAGCAGGAGAAGCAGCAGCAGCAGCAACAGCAACAACAACAGCAGCAGCAACAGCAGCCGCCGCCGCCGCCGCAACAGCAGCAGCAGCAGCAGAGCGAGAATACGAGCGCCGGAGGACCACTTCTAAGTGACAGTGAGTTTGAACAAATTAAAGCAGATATTTTGGAATCTGCACCCCTTGCTTCTCCTCCACAAGGAATTACATCAGTACCTGGAGGAGTTCCTGTAATTAGGCCATCTTGTACATCAAGCCCACCATCCGCTCCAGGTACCAATTGGCAGCAGTCAGTACCAGACGCCACGAAAGTAGTCACTCAAGTGCCCAGACAACCAATCGCCACCCAGACACCGCCAGAACGTTAGTATATCAAAACACAGTTTGTAATGAAATAAAATTTGCTTGCAATATAGAAGTATTGTAAAATTCGTTGTATGATCCAGCGAGGGTAGCCACGTTCAACGTCTCCCAGATTCCTGCCCCACCCACGCCGCCGGATACCATTGCGAACGAACAGGACCGGCAAGTGCAACTGCAGTACGAGCAGTGGCTAAATCATCAGCGTCAAGTGTTGACACAGCAGTTGAAGTATTACGAAACTGAGGTACAAAAGCTGCGTAAAATACGAAAAGTAAGGATAGAATGTTTTTATGTTGCGGTGTTTTCGTTTTTGTAGCACTCTAAACGATTCGGGTATGCTACAGTTTAAACTCTCTCCTGTTTTTACAGTCCCTTAATAGCAAACAACGACAGCTGCGAAAGTCTGGGAACGAATTGACCGAGAACGACGCGGCCGAGTTGCAACGTATTTCCAGCGAGCAATCGATACTGCAGAAACATTTAGACGCGAGCCGTAAGCAAACCCGGCAACACGGCATGTTGATACAAGAATACCAAAGTAAACAGCAGCAGAGACAGCCTCAGCAACAAAACAGCGAACCATGTTCGCCGTTGATGTCTCCTTCTCAACATTCGCCAATGCACAGTCCCGCCGCGCTTGTTTCTCAAAGTCCGGGCCCTGGTAACGTTGCATCGAGCATGATACAACATTCACCGGCGACTCCCATTATTCAACACAGTCCTAATCCACCGTTGCTGCAACACAGTCCCGGTAATCCACAGTCGGGAAATCCGGGAACCATGTCGCCCCATAACATGCAACAATCGCCACGGATCGGCACTCCGCACTCGCAGAACGAGGAGAGTCCCTTCAGTCCTGGAGCGATGCCGTCGCCGGGAATGTGTGGCCCTTCGGCAACTCGTATGACGTCGCCGCAACATCGTGCGATTATTACTGGAAGACTCGCAACTAGTCCGGGTGCCTTCACTCCAGACACTAGAAGTACCCAACAAATTATCAATGATCAAGCAGTCAGAGTTCACGGTCTTACTCAACGTTTCGTCCGTCCACCCGCCATTGGAGATCCAGGACAACGACCCAGATTGCAGCTTCAAGGAGGAATCGTGTATGGTCAACGGTCTCCGCTTGGAAGCCCGCAGTCTAATCAACAGTCTCTGATGACTCAGCAACACCAGCAAATGCTCCAAAGGCAGCAAATTCTTCAACAACAGCAGCAGCAGCAACAACACGAGGCCACTGGGATTCTTCAAGATGGGCAGAACGCGATGACTCAGCGCACGTTGCAAATGGCGCAACAAAGGCAACAGATGCTTCAGCAGCAGCAACAGCAGCAAATAGCTCAACAACAGAGACAACAGTTTCTACAAATGCAGCAGCAGCAACAGCAACAACAACAGCAGCAGCAGCAGCAACATGTAATGCAAAAACCGCCGAGTTCTCCGATGGTGTCTCAACCTGCAAATTCCCCAAGTCCTCAGCTTCATCAACAGATGCAACAGACTTACGGGCAACCTCCGAGTTCTCCTATGCCTCGTAGTCCCATGGTTCAACAGACTATGGGTTCTCCTATGCTTCAGCAGCAGCTGAGTCAGACATCGCAACCACCCAGTCCAATGAACTCAAGAATGCATCCGCACCCGCCAAGTTCACCAATGATATCACAGTATCAACCACCGAGTCCGATGTCACGAAACCACCCTTCGACGTCGCCGATGCTCCAGCATCAGTTGAATAATGCGCATCATCCACCGCCGTCTCAACCGCCTAGCTCTCCCATGCCGCGCAGTCCTATGGTCGGTGGCTCGCCTATGCAGATGCAAAGAAGACAATCTACCGGGAACAGTCCAGCGATGCCAGATCGACCACAGAGCGTGGAAAATCCTGGAACTCCAAGAACACCGCACACTCCTCACACGCCTCACACTCCGCATAATTCTTACGCGACTCAGACATCGAACAATATGTCTGTACAAAGTGATCAACAGCAACAGATGCAACAACAGCATCAACATCAACAGTCTATCCAGCAGGAACAGGCGTCTACGACGACGGAGCATACGAATAGAGGAGGAGGAAACCCGCATAATCCTCTAAATCCATTACCTTTCGGACGGTTTGGTTACATCAAGCTTGGATTGAGGGGTGGTTCTCCTATGTGGTCTACTAAGGCAGAGACCAGCAAAGGGAAAACTTCTGAATCGCATCTTTTAAACATGGAGGAGAAACCAAACACGTCTGTGGTTGTGCACAGAAAAACTGGTATACCGCAGTCGAAGATTAACTCTCTGGTATGCGCAGATTATAATGATTTTGACGATGACTCGCACACACCACCTCAAACTCCACCGACCTCTATAGAGACTAAACAAGCTACTTCATTATCAGACAATGGACCCTTAACGTTGGGCAGTCCCAGTAACAAGTTGGAACCAATACCCGATACGACTGATTATGACGACGATAAAACTATCGTGAACACGGAAGTGACTTTGAGTTCCACAGCCCAGCGTGATAGTGACGATATTACCGTGATAGACCAATTTGGAGACTCAGAACTTGATATGATAACGGGGACGCTAGAAGGCGATATGCAAGAGGAATATGTACTTTTTGAGCCTGGCGTGGTTGTGGATTTGTCAGCAGATAGCAATGATTCCCTGTGTAATGCATTAGTCAACGAAGGGAGTCAAGGGCACGACTTAGTGCAAATATTGGAAATTGAAAATCCTGAATCTCAAACAGACGATCCGATATTGAGCGACGAGGACCTCGTGTCTTCTCATACAAGGAACAAAAAGGGCCTAAGGCTGGATATAATAAGAACCTTACAGTCTGGTAAGAGGCTAGTAGCAGTTACGGACACTCCGGAGTCACCGGATCAAGAAGAACTTCGTGTGGATCCATCGCCTGGATCGTACATAGACCAATCGCCCGAACAAGATCTCATGGTGTCTTTCGTTAACGAATCGGAAGTCGTGATCATCGATCCCAGTACAAAATCGCCTGAAGATAACTTGTCTAAAGAATCGTGCACGGAGGAAGTCGAGAAGACGGATACTGCTAGTGTTTCCGAGATGCCGAAAGAGAATACTATCTTGGAAAGTGCTGCTGAAGATGAATCAAAGACGCAAAAAGAATCAAAGCCGAGGAGTCCTACAACGTTTGTATTCTCCGAAAAAGTACTTTACAATCAAATTCCGCCGTCAAGCATGCATCATGCCAACATTGGTGTACCTTCTACGTGCAAATCCATAGTATCATTATCAATCTCTTCAAGTACAAACGTTAGTAATGGCAACACGGACACTGTTACTGGTACGTCCACTACTATATTAGTGGTAACGGACGCTACTAGTAAATCGACGCCAATTTTTACGACCCTGAGTATAACAAAAGAGACCGTTCCGTCTTCCTTCAATAATCAAAAGCAGTTACCATCGTCGATGGCGAGTATCGTAGCAGACGCTAAAATTGCTGCCAAGCTCAGTCAAACAGCATTGGAGAACATGGCCAGCTCTCAACAAAATGTGACGCAAGTAGAACCGTTACCTAAAATCAGTTTACCGAATTTGGAAGTTCCTAAGCCTCAGATAACGAGTTCGGATAAAGTCGTATCGTCAGTGCCTAAAATCCCGAATGAAATCACTAGTTTTATCCAAAATATAGCTCCGAGCACAGTAGAGACGACAAGCAGTCCTACGAAATTGATCTTGAGCGTTCAACCAACGTCAGTCACATTATCGACGCCAAAAATGTCGATACCAGAACTTCCTAACAAAGAAAACGAAAATAAATCTGTCGTGGTCACCAAGGAGAATCAGCCAGAAATATTGGAAAAAAATGTAAAGGTTCAAAATGAGAAGGACGAAACAGATCATTTAGCAAAAAATTCGGAGGAATCTGATACGGCGGATAGTTTGAGTGGAAACGTGGCCGCAAGCGTAACTTTGAGTCAAGAGTCAAATCTATCCGATGACAAGAAAAGCGACCCTTTGAATACCACTGACGAATTGGAAAGTATGCTCGAAGCGATTCATAATCCTGCAGAAAATACCATAAATAGAGATAATTCTCATACGGAGAGTAATAAATCAGACACGGCTTCTTCATTGAAAAGGATATCGCCAGTTACGGACGATTTGTCATTGGTAAATATTTTGGAGAACGATTCGGAACCGGTTGAAAATGAAAGTAAAGAAGAAAACGTAACGACGTCTGAAGCTCAGAAAATAAACAGTAAAGCGAAAGATATTGAGACTAGTATCGCAGACAACACTAATTCTAACATACCCCCGAAAGAAAAGAAACACAATGAATTGTGTACAGAAGTCGAAACGAGTAAGCCTTATGTCCAACATTGTCTCAATGAAGAAAAAGGTATGATGGAGGAATCATCGGACGATATATTGGATATGCTACAGAACATTATATCATCGAAGCCAGAAATGGCGAACAGCGACATGCTTCAAGAAGACAGATCAAGAAAATCGAGTATGATGTACGACCTACCAACACCTTTAGATACTCTGCCTCTAAACATTCTTCAAGACTCCTTAATGGATTTGGAGCAAGAACATTCCGACAATGAACATGTCTTACCGAACGAGAACAAACCACTAAAAGCGCAGAAAAGCAGTCCGCCACCTCCGGAGCCTACGCCTAAGAGGAACTCTCCGATCCCGCAGCCGAATACTCCTTTGGTTGTAAGTACTGTAGCGCAGTTACAGAAATGCACTACAACGGTACCTCATCTTTCTCCTCTGTCGAAACCTACAGAATTAACATCAAACGTCGCCAACGTGTCGCATCAGCTGAGAACATTATTATCTTCGCTACAAACTAATCATTCGCAAAATTGCACAACCGTAAGTCAAACCGCCATGATCACTATGGTGTCATCGGCGATTTCGGGTCCAAAAACGGGAAACATACTAACTACAATCAGCACATCCTCGCCAAATTCTGTAAATAATCTTCATAGTAACGCAAACGTTCGGCTGCAGTCCTCCATGATCACATCTCATCCGACGATCACGAGCAAACCTGATCTAGAGACGACGGCGACAGCGACGACGTCCACGTCGACGACCAGTTATACCCCACATACAAAAGAAAGTACAAATTCTACAGTAAGCGTTGTTTCTACTTTGTCTAAGGTCGCTCCATCGGAGTCGTTTTTACGAATCACTTCCAGTGGAGTACAATTGCAAGCTACTTCTACTAATAGCCTCTCCCTGCAAACGTCGTCTGTGATGAGCCCAAGACTATCGACACATTCGGGTATCTCGATTACTTCAAATGCGATGTTGAATGCGATGCTGGCTGGCACGAACTCTGCGAAACCTTCAATCGCTGGACATCGGACGAATACCGTTCCGACGCAGGCCAGCAATTTGTTGAGCTCGGTAATGGCAACTTCCGTGCAACGGACGCAGAGTCTTCAAGCTATCCTGCAAGTGAGTTCAGCCGCCTCCTCCTCGGCACCTTCTCGCGTGGTGGTGAACGCCACGTCAACGACAGTGACAACGTCGATGCAATGTGTTAGAACCATCGTACCTCCCATAGTGACCGCGAGTACCAACAGCATTAACGTTAGTACCAGCATATTGCAATCTACTTTGTCTCAAACACCTACACTTCTCCATTCTCAACTTACGTCTGGTTCCGGAAGTTATAAATCAACTACTCACTTACCGGTGGAGACTAAGAATGCTGATCTGACGCAGACTGCGCCGTCGAAAAAAGAGCCGGAAGAATCTAATTGCAAACCACAATCAGTACTAGAGAAACCGTCAACAGTTAGATCTGAGATAGAAATAAATAAAAGTTCAGCAGGTTCTCACAGAATGGAGGAATCTCAGAATGTATTATTAAAGCAATTGCTGCAGAATTCTGCATGTGCAACGACTACTCTATGCTCTGGTTCTTCGCAAGGTCCTAGTTTGCCTATAGTACCATCTTTAGAAGCGCAACTAGCGAGACCAGTACCGCCTACTCCATTTTCTGTTCTACCGCCTTTGGTCAACGAAGTGCCAGCACCTAAGACTACCGGTAATAAACAAGTCTTAAACAGGGAGACGTCGTTCTTGTCGCAGTCAGTAACACCTTTGAAAGTGCAAAGTCCACCGATTAAAGAAGAACCGCCGAAGCCACCTCCACCCTTAACAACTTCTGCACCGATCCTCTCTCAACAACGGGTTGATACATTTGTAAAGCAACAGATAACTACGCAACCTGCCAAGACCACTTTGACTCAAGCGAACCAACAACCAACGATGACGATTACTAAGCAAGTACCGCCGTCGCTCTCGGTCAAGACCACGGAAACAACGACCCCCATCGTGAAGCAAGAACCATCGACCATTAATCAACCACCGTCGAAACCAGCTAATGATATCATCGTCAATAGTACCGCGCCCATTCAGCAACAACAGTGTGTATCGACTCCCACGGCCGTGTCACGAGTGATACCACAAGCGAAACCAGTGATCACAACTGTGACTAGTAAATGTATACAGTCGACGACGCAAGTATCGAGTACCGTTCAAGCGACGCAGCAACAACCGCTGACGCCTATCACGGCAGCGCAGCCACCGCCACCACAGCAGACCCAAGTACAGACTCACCCCCAAATACCGGTCACCCAGAAAACGATCGCCTCGACCCAGCAGCAGCAGCAGCAACAACAACAACCCCCACAACATGTAAACACAATACCGCCATCAGTGCCTCATACGGTGTCTCACACGGTGGGCCACCAAGCCCAGGCGTCACAGGGTGCAAATGCACAACACACAGTGCCTTTAAGGGAAGTCAAAAATGAAGTTCTTGATGAAGTTCTATCTAGTGGTACACCTACCCAATTAACTGATACCAAAGACTTTCTTACTGCCAAAGAGGAGCTTATTGACGGATCGATTGACGACAAAACTGGTATGCAGCAAATTCTTAATTACAGATTTATTTTCGTTTATAATTTTTAAATGATTTTCAATAACTGATATTTTGTATAAAATAATATTTTATATCACTTAGTTAATTTGAAATTGAAAATGATATCAATATTAAAAAAAATTAGATTTACTGAAGTTTTCTGAAATTTGAATTGCACAGATCTCAAGAAGTTGAAAAGGCGACAATATCAACAAAAACGGAAGCAAAGTCAGGGAAAGGACCAGGCGACAGCACCGCAAAAGAAGCGTGCTAGAAAAATATCTCGCTTAGATGAGGATTATGACACGTTCATTGACAACTTAATGTCACAATTACGGCAACTTCAGCCAATGGCAGTATTAGAACCACTTTTAGGCAGAAATTACGGCGTGTGTCCTATCTTTGGTTCGGGAGATCTGACGAAAATCGGCAGTCAAAAAGATTACAACACGAGGACGGGAGACTTAGTCGGTTCTTATGGATCCGCTACATTGCCGGGTGTATCCGATCACTACAACACTCAACCGTTCGGCGAAATGGAACCCCTGCCACCTCAACAGCCTGTTTCTACTCAAAGAGGATTTTATGATCAAGAATTTCCACCTCTTAAATTGGACGATTGTAAGTATTCGCGCAGCAGAAATTTCAATGTGAAACTAATTATTAAGTATTAATATGTATTGATTTTTTAGCCGATGATAAAAAGGAGAATTCTTTATCAATGAACCGCGACGTCGACTCCCCGGACACGATAGTCAGTTCCTCCTCACCCGAGTGTGTTATCCCGGAATTTATACATCGATTCCCGGGATTAAGATTGATCGAGGAAGAGTCGGACGAGGAATCGGACTGGCTGAAACGAGTGTCACCCGTCATACCTTTAATTTCACCGATACCAATCAGATTAAAACCGACTTATGTCGGCAAAGACATTGCTAAACAAGATAAAGAGAATTTAGGAGTACCACGGTACGCATACACGTACGCTCATATATATTACATAGATTTTCTGGAATTATTGCACAGCCATTGATTATATAAATGATTTCCATAGGCTTGGAAAATCACCTCCAATAGCCTTGAGGGATGGCAATGTAACAGTTACATTGACTTTGAATAGTCAGGCTGCAGACGACATAATGGGAGTACTTAAGGATTTGGCTAATATCTTAAATATAGCTCCTCCCACTAGTTACCAGATAGTAGAACGTACTACTACTCCCCCTAGTCAGAAATTAGGTCTTTATAGAATCAAGGGAAAAGATGGTAAAGAGGGAGGTAGGTATATCAATCTAATAAGTAGAAACTAATAAAAAGTTTGTACGGATACGTGACGTTTTCGTGTTCAAATTTTCAGCCCCGATTGATATACAAAGTATTTTGAATGGCGCCGCTAAATTCTGTCGTCATTGCGATGTTGTGATATTGAATAGCTTAATAAGAAAGAAAGTATCCGATTTACCATTTTTAAGTAAAGAAGAGGCTGAGCCCGGCGATGAGTTATGTTTCTGTTCGGCAGCCTGTTATATGCAATTTGCTCTTATGCACAGAACACCTTCGAACACCCAAGACAAGGTAAAGATTATTGAAATATTACGAAATATACGACATTAATTTTCTGCTTTCGTTTGGTAATGAATGTTGTTTTTTGTTTAGGCTGCAATGATAGTTGATCACTTATGTCATAATAAAGTAGACAAGGTATTAGACGATGATTTCAAGAAAGGGAAAAAATATATGTTGAAACCTCCGGTTGATCATACCGAAAGTATAGAAATCGAACAGACAGAAAAGGAAACTGAGGTGAAGATTAAAATAGAGAACGAGGAACAAGACGTTCCTGAGGCGAAAGACGAAATGACAGAAGATAAACGGCCAAAGAAACATACGACCGAAGAATCCTCCATTGACTCGGCTGAGACGCAACAACCACCTTCGAAAGTATGGAGAGGTTTACGGTACAAGACGTGGTCTCTCGGCTCGATGCAACCTCAAACCAAGTACAAAAAACCAAATGATAAAGAAATCACAGAGGTACGGACGGAACTAATTTACTCTGTTAGTGCATTATAAATGATTGTATGTAAAATACTATTTCCTTTTCACAGATGCTCTTCCGCTTGGGGGTAACCGTGGTACCTGCCAAAACGGAAGACAGTCGACGGTGCATGTTTTGTCACAGTCAAGGTGATGGTACAGCCGATGGCCCCGCTAGACTACTTAATTTTGACGTTGACAAATGGGTGCATTTAAACTGCGCCCTTTGGTCAGAAGATGTGTACGAAACTGTAAATGGTGCCTTGATGAATCTTGATACTGCTTTGCAACATAGCCTTGTATTAAATTGTATCGTTTGTGAGAAACCGGGGGCTACCGTAAAATGTTTTAAAATGCGCTGTACCAACGTATACCATCTTGGCTGCGCTGTTAAAGATGGCTGTGTTTTTTATAAGAATAAGGTAAGCATCGACGATATACGTGAACGACATGTTTTAATAGTTTTACATTTAATGAAACGCATAAAATTCATGGGCCGTTAATGTTACTTTCAGAGTACCTACTGCGCTCAGCATGTGCAAAAAAACGAGAAAGATAATGAACTGACCACGCTTTCCGTCTACCGAAGGGTTTACGTGAACCGTGACGAGAATAGACAAGTCGCAGCTGTGATGCATCACTCGGAACATAATCACCTGCTGAGAGTCGGAAGTCTGATATTTTTAAGCGTCGGGCAACTGCTTCCGCATCAACTCACCAATTTTCACACACCGAACTACATATACCCCGTCGGATACAAAATCGTCAGGTTTTATTGGAGCATGAGGCGGCCGAACAAACGCTGCCGGTACGTGTGTTCCATCCACGACGTTTCCGGTCGCCCCGAGTTTCGCGTCTTGGTACAAGAACCTTTACAAGAAGACGTCGAACTACGAGACGCGACTCCTCGCGCTGTGTGGAGCAGAATCCTCGAACCACTCGCCGAACTTAGAAAAACAACACATAGCGTTCAACTGTTCCCGCGTTACGTTTCCGGCGAAGATCTGTTCGGACTGACAGAGCCGGCGGTTGTTCGTGTTCTAGAAAGTCTTCCAGGCATCGAGACTCTGACCGATTACAGATTTAAATACGGTCGAAATCCTCTATTAGAATTACCGTTAGCGATTAATCCTACCGGCAGTGCGAGAACAGAAGCTCGTTTACGGAATCAACTACCCTGGAAAAGGCCGCACACGCAGCGGACAGGCAACTCTGCTCGGGCGGCCTTCGCTCCGACCGCGACCGTTGCAGGCGAAGTAGCGTGTCCCTATTCGAAACAATTTGTCCATTCTAAAAGCTCGCAGTACAAGAAGATGAAGCAGGAGTGGCGGAATAACGTATACCTAGCGCGCTCCAAGATACAAGGTCTGGGGCTGTACGCTGCGCGCGATCTGGAGAAACACACAATGGTCATTGAGTACATTGGGGAGATCATCCGTACTGAATTGGCCGAAACCAGGGAGAAGCAATACGAAGCAAGGGTACATTTCTTGTGTTGCCGATATTTATTACGTTGCGATTTTGAAAGAACGAAATTATGAATGATATTTTTGTTACAGAATCGTGGTATTTATATGTTCCGCTTGGACGAAGAGAGAGTGGTCGATGCGACTTTGTGTGGGGGTCTGGCAAGGTACATCAACCACTCTTGTAACCCGAATTGTGTCGCTGAAATCGTTGAGGTTGAACGTGATCTTAGAATCATAATCTTTGCGAAGCGGAGAATCTCACGTGGCGAGGAGGTACGTTATCTTGTTTTAGTTCAATACTCCTCTGCATCGTAATTTATTCGAAATAATCATTTACACAATAACTCGTTGCTTCGCAGCTGGCATACGATTACAAATTTGACATTGAAGATGACCAGCACAAGATAGCATGCGCATGTGGCGCGCCTAACTGCCGCAAGTGGATGAACTAAAGAGCTCGATCCACCGTTGTTATTGTTACTACGTTATTGGGTAGGTTTTACATGAAGAAAAGAATTATATATATATAAATATATAAATATATATGATAAACACATTATTTAATTTGTAAAGTGCCATTGCAGTTTGACTAATTGATTCATAGTGAAGTTGGTGCTATGCCATCACAACATTCCTCCAAAGTTGTACAATATTAGTTTTACTTTACAAAACATAGAGACATTGAATCGCTTGTATATTACGGACACTCTTTGAGGACACGACACGGAGTAATTGCAAAAAAAAATATAACAAATTTTATGGGTCGTGTGTATGTATACAGAAAGTTTGTATCTTTGTATGTTGAATAGTGTCAACGTCCGGTTGATCGATATTGTAATATAAATCGTTTAATAATTATTATTACATTGCACTGTATTTGTACATACGTAGAGGTCCATGTTATTTTGAATCACCAGAAGATGAATTATGTAAAGTAACAGTATCTAATTTAGAATTATATACAATTATATCTATTTCATTATATGATAATAAATCCGTACAAAATCTACTGATCTATTTCGTTTTTGTATATCCTTTTTTTTTTCTCGTATAATTCGATTTGTCAACGCTTCGTGTGTATGTAAATAAATGATATTCGCCTTTGGAGCCTTTTTGCCGTGAATAGATGCTATTGCGTGAATTGCGAATTTACCAAACGTCAGAAATACGAAAGTGGTCACGTCTTTGTTGTTAAATAAACTTTCTTTGGTCACACACGATTTGTAAATGAATCGCAGATTTATATATTCTTAAAAATGTTACAATTGCATAATGAAACTTAAAGCGAAACTTGTTTTTTACAAACACTTGTAAGCAAAATCAATTTTTGAAGTGCGATTTTATAGCCGAAACTTACCTTTTCATATTCGATCGGTTCGACTTGTATGAAAACGGCAGATGTAAAGAAACAATGATTTCTATAGGTGAGAGTGAAACAATAACATAAAAACGAGATCATGTTCACAATTTTATTTTTATAACTGTAAAATAATATTTACAAATGAATATATATCGCATGTACACAAAGTACACAGTCGTTTTTCCAAGTTTCGGTAGTTAGTATAATAAAAGAATACGACAAACGCTAAAATAATATTTACATGAGTATTCTCGATTCTATGTGTGTGTCGCAAGTAATTTATACAGAACAAGTATATCTCCGACGAAGTCTTTGAAATGTTTAATTCTGTTTAATTGGATAAGAGAGGAGAAGACGCGAGAAATACTTTCCGCATCCGTGGGAACGTAATGCGGACGCATTTGTATGAACGCTTGGGGGGTAAAACAAAGTGAAAGGGATGGCGCGATTACGCAGATCGTAAAAATATGCAATAATGCAAATGAAAAGCGAGTAATAGTGTGATCGGTGAAAAAATTATACGAACGTAAATGCGAAGAAGTAATACATCGTGAGGGAAATGTATTTTAAATGCAATTCTTTGGCATTTATGCACGTTACAATTGTAAGGCGGTCTAAAACGTTACAACACCGTGTGTAATCTATGTACAGTTTTAAAAAAGTAACTATCACTTTAAGCGTAAAAGTAAGTATGGAGACAAGGTACGACGCTTACAAAAAACCACTTGCGTATACTACTTATATGTATATTCGACGATTTGGACAACAATATATTGTAAACATTTCGCTATATATAATATATATAAACCGGCTTTCATCTTCCGCAGATTTTGTAAATTGATACTGATCGGTATGCTGCGCGGCTGAACGTATACTCTGAGTGTATATTGTATATTGTTTCTAACGCGATGATAAAATCTAGCGAGGATTTTTCGAGTATTTAATCTTTAAAAGAAAAAGAATTAATAGAAATAAAACGAGGAGAAGTTTCACCGTGTTCAGTGTAATTTTTTGTTGTCAAAGTACGTAGTACATTTATAATAGCAAATGGTTGTCGATATCGTGTTTATTAAATTTCGTAGCTGATTAGAATGATTGTGTAACAAGTCTTATTCGCTTTCTCATTTCTTAACGTCGCATTAAGTTTTCCCTGAAGAAGGATTTCTGTCAAACGTTGCTTATACCGTTTAGACTGTTTCCGCAACATCTGTCCCCTTTTCGGGTCATCGCGAAGAAATCAGTTAACAAACTTCGTTTAGGTAAGGACTCGATCAAGGTGACAATTAGTACCAGTTTGTAATTAAATCCTGAGGTATGTCTTAATTTTAGATATTAAGTTGTAATAAAAATTTTTGATGATATAATCAGAGCGATGGCTTTCTGTCTCTTCCATGGAACTTCTTACTTAAATATTAAATATTTTACCCTACGACGCAACGGAAATAAAATAATAATTTACTATTAAAATCTCGTTCTTCAATGAGTTTTCTAATAATTAAAAAAATAATTTGCCGGAATCAGTAATTAATATTTTCACATGACTTCTCGACGTTGGTCTCACACATCCGATTTATTCGAAGATGGTTTTTCATGCAAAATAAAACTCGGTTTTTCGCAATGAAAAAAAATAGGTGCTTACCCGGTGCGACAGACGGGAACACGTTCGTTCCATCATCGACGAACTTTCGTCTGGGACAAAGAGAAGTGAAAAACTTAAGCGTTACAACTTCTGTGTCGGTCGAAACATATGACGATGGTCTGCTGTCTTCATTCACGATGACACTGGCTCAATCCTGTTGCATGCAATAAATTAATAGAATCATTAAATAAATGTCGAACAAAGTATACGATACGAGTGAGGCTCTAGTTCACGTGTGAAGAAATCGAAATTAGCAACCGAATAATGAAGAAAAATTCGAATCAATAATAAAAGTGTACCGTCGAGGATCATTTCGTGTAACTCAGAATTAAATCCATAGCCAATATGATTAAATCTATTCACAAGGCATTAAGAAGCGTATACAAAGCCCTACATGCAATTTTCTAACTCCGTTTTATCCCAAATAAGAAATAAATAAAATAGAATATTGTTTATTAAAGAAATAATTCATAAGTGCATGCTAGAAATGCAGTGTTTAAAGTAAGGACGCATGCAATTTAAACGAAGAATGGGGGGATGCATGCGTATCACAAACGATACTGGAGATTACCTACTAATATATTTGAGATTCTGGGATTTGCATATGAAAGTTTCGAATCTATATTAATTTGGAAACTGTTTATTGCCATTAGCTTTATATAGTTTATAATAATCGTTATATTATCCACATATAATACATTTTTATGTACAAGGGGTCTAGTGTACACTATGATTAGATGTAGTGAACGATTTTATCCTTCTCGAGAACGATACAAAAAGACTGTTATCTAATAAATAGTAAAACGGATAATCAAAATGTTCTATCTACAATCAAAATACAAAAGTAACGAAATAGAGTTTCGTCTTTACTGACTTCTATGCTTAAGAGTTAATGCGTTACTCGTATGTATGCGAATATTGAATAGTAACATGATTTACAGGAACCGTATCTAAAAAAGAAAAAACGAATGCTAAACTCGACTATCCGATGAACAGAATCGTTTTGGTGTTCTACAAGATGAAAGAGATGTCCCTGGAATGTTTGTCAATCATATTATGAATATTATTCAGCAAGAAATCAGCTACCATTTTTCATTGAACGTAATCAAAATTGTATTTTGATTTCTCTTTTCCTCCAACTCAAAAGTAAAAAATTAGTAGATCCTAATACTGCTTCTTTGAGATTAGATTATAGTATCGCTTTATTAAATTTAGGACGTGTACCAGCATAAAATAATTACGTAACACTTGGTAGTACCTTTGTTCCATTAATAGCAAATCAATCCTCCAACATTCTTTTTACCTAGTCATAATTAACAAATACAATAACGTCAATAAGGATCGCGTTCGTGTTATTAGCCTAAAACAAATCATTTCGAACTGTTAAATAAATTAGTAATAATTAGCACCAACGAAATAATTTAATCAGTATCATTAAATGTACGACAACAAAACTGGGAATAGAAGCACTCAATCTGTTACGTAATGCTTTCTATGCGAGAACGATCGTGTGTATACATATACATATATTCGTATATATGTACACGGTATATACATACATGTATATATATAAATACGGTACTGTATAGTTTGCATTTAAAAAGGCTAGAATAATTTCGATAAGTCGCTACTGTTTATCCACCTAAACGTAAAGTTGGAACAATGATTAGAATAATGTGAGGCCCTACGTTAGTCCTTATACTTGCGATGGTTCAATCGAATAGGTACCGAGCAACGAAAGAATCGATTTCTCATTTTTTCATCCCCTCTCTCTCTTCCTTTTTATCCATCGCCCTCGTCTAAATTATCGGAATGATCTCCTTAACCAATACGTAAATATAAAATCACAAAGAGCAATAACGCGATCACAGAAAAAAAACGCATGCACGATGGTCCTCCTCGTACGATACATATATTATATAATTATAATATATCATCTCGAAGCGACACATGACAAAATCGTGGAACGCGAATGAAAATGCAATTATTCTCGAGGAATCGCACGAAATTACAAAAATATATGGTAGATTTACGCGGTGCAAAATGAGGCTCGATAGTAGACAATTTTCGTCGCAAACTGAAAAAGTTTGTAATCAGAACACGCGTCTCTCTAATTAATTTATCTTTTTTATTATCCAGTCTTAAATTGCTCAACGTGCCGGCGCGGGCGCGGCGTTCCTTCACCTTCGCGTTCAGCGCAATCACATTCGTTGCAATCAACAATAAATCCGAAACGCGAGAAACCGCGACGTCTTAACATCGTTCAACAAGTACCTCCGTCACAACGAAACGTTTCTGCGTGACGTATCTCGATTAAACTCGTTTATATAGAAAAAATAAATAATTCTATTCAACGTTTTAAATAAATAGTCAACAATGCGTGCTAGAATACCTTGAAATTTCGCGAAATGTACCCATCCTTGACATTAATGATCTATAAAAATCGTGATGTATTCCTGGTCGGTGATAAAAAAAGGTCTAGGTTCTTAGACGGTGAATGAAAATTAATAAATCGGAAATCGTTACATCTTACGTAAAGTAAGTAACACAACAAAACCAGCAGAAACCAGAAAAAAAAGAAAGAAATGCTCCAGTCACCAATATAATATTTTTTAAAACCAGCGAAAGAAGCGATTACTTTACGTCACCTGTTACCGATGATAAATATATAGTTAAATGTTTGTTAGCAGCGAACTGAAAGCGGAAAGCATGAGTAGATGCTCGAATAAGGTACTTTTTCATTTCACACGAAGACAGACACAGTTCGGTATAGCAACAAAGTATATACCGTACGATTCGTTTTCTTAATCTCAATATGAACTGCAATCTCGTTTAACAATCTTGGTTCTATATAAATATGATTTTAATGCTGAAGAACTCGATTGAGATGCACGATAAATTTTAAGAAACAACGATTCGTATTCGTACCTACGCTCCACTGTCTTTTATACAGATGGTATTAAATTCACATTAATTGAACGGTGTGGTTACGCTATATAACTATATGTGTCTACTTTCCAAGATAACATTCGAACACCGTCTCTCCTTTATTTTCTTCATAATTTTCATTTACCGGCCATTAACGCATTGTTCTATACGTAACTGGTCTTATCTTCAATCAAGGCACGAGTCTTGAATCGAGCCTTGCCAAGTCTTTGTCAACGCTTTAAGAATCTACTCGGATAATAAATAGCGAACCATTTACATTATTACTGACTTAGGTGCGAACCCCAACCCAATCACCAATTCATTGACTGGCCTCGAACCAGCGCTTAGAACAGCAGCTTTCTTACATTCGGGTACACACTCGCGACAACTTATCAGTGACAGCGCGATACTTGAGCAACAGCGAATTAATCACTCCGGGAACAGAGAAGAGAAACACGTAAAAAAGTTGAATCAGGAAGATCGAAGTCGCTGCTGTAGCGAAGCGCCGTACGAATGCGTTAGCACTACCGGTTGTTCTTAGTCCTTTCCATTAATCAATGATACCGCTGATAATTTTACGATTAAATATAGTAAAAGAGAATGCGGTGAGTACACGGGCGTACGGTAAAAGTACTGTACTTAACAAGTGTGATGCGTCGGATACATCGTTAGATAATTTTTCTTTAATCATTCTCTTCGGTGTTTCAGCTGTTGGAGGTTCTGACTGCGTGAACGCAGGTCAGACTAGACCACACATGCTGAAAATACACCCATCACACGTCAACCAATGTCCCCGCCGTAGTCCTGACCGTTTAGCAGATTACGGTTGTAAATGGCAGCCCTGTAACTGTACCTATTTATGGCTGGCCGATCTGGAACGGGCGGAGGGACCAGAGACACGTCCGAATTCAGTAGGGCACCGCTTCCTTCGTCCACCTCGCCGATGCTGCTCTCAACCAGCGACGGCTCTACTTCCGTAAACGCCAATCTCGATCGTAACAAATATGCATATGTCTTGTACCTCTTCAACTGTAACAGTGAAATCAAACATTTTATGGATCACTATATGAAACATATATTTGTAATATAAGCTAGAGAAATTGAATTGGAATTTTAATATTATACATAAGAACAGAACTTAATTATCGCAGTTACGTAAACGGTTAAGATATATCCTGGTGAAAGTACCGTGCTGATTTTAGTTTTCTTATTCTCGTGGCATGAATCAACGAGATTCGACGTGAATGATATGTAGCAAGATACGAAAGATACTTTTTACTGCTACGAGACATGAATAAAAAATTATTTAGTATTAGTCGTTTACCTCATGATGTAAATAGGCATCTTTTTCTTTATAATTTTGTACCGTGAGGGCTTTAGCCCCTCTCTCAGGGGGATGTCGTCTATGCTCTTCCAGTTCGGCCTCCAATTTGTTCACTCTCTCCTCATGGTCCCGTAACTGTTCTCTCTGACAACACGTGAAAAAAATCCAACAAACTGTCATTTATCCGCGGAATTTTCAATTCGCACAGAAGATATAGAAGAGAACAAAAAAAAAAACGAAACATAATCTTTCTACTTTGTTCGATCAGTTGGTACTTTAAACATGTTTGTACGCTATGGTCTGTACGGCAGTTCTAATTCTGGTGTGTCCGAATCTCTCGAGAGTACCGAGAACTTAGAGAACGGAGTTCGCTTCGGGGATAGTGGAGGAAGGCTTGCAAATAAAGAAACAATGAAGACAGATTACATTCGTTTGCGTGGCCGAGCAGAAGAAACCGCTTTTCTTAGTCTCTTCTGTCACGCGAACACTACTCACAGGAGATAATTTCGTGTGGCTGCACGGAAGCAGAGGCCGTTGAAACTTTCGCTGCGAACCGACGGCACCGGCTAACGGCTGGCAAGAAAAACTGGCACACACGAAGTTAATCGTGTCGATCCACGATTGCAATTCTTTGGAATCACTGAAAATTCCATTAATTCGATTTGATGATTTTACGAAAACAAGTAAACTTGTAGTGAAAAAATAAATAAATATTATGAAACACAGAAAATACTTATTTTGCAATAAGAATGATGTAATGAGATTTGTATTGACGCTTACCTCGTTTGGAAGAGATACTCTGCTTGATCGGCAGTCTGTAACCTGAAGACATGTTCCTTCTTGGTGTAATCGGACGCCTTGGTGGCCAACGCGTGGTGAATGCGTATCGCGTTGTGCAGACTATCATTACGGAAGCCATGCTCGTCTTTGTGCAAATATAGTACAAGTTCCCTCAATGTACAATAATACATCTTCCAACCGCGTTTTCCAAACGGAGCTGAAACCGACAAAAGTGACATCGATATTATGTGAAAGATGCTCCGCACAATACAATTGAGTATATATAACCGAATCCTGACAGTAACATGCAAATTCAACAGTAATAAAAGTAACAGTAAAAAAATTCAATAAATCGAGTAAGTATAAAAAAAGAAATTACTTTTCTTCCCGTTGGAATCGTAACAACATTTTCGCATAACGTATCCCTTCTTGAATTCCGTAGCACCGGTAACATTTGGCACATCGAGAAACGGATTTCCGGTACCAGATATCGCTGGACCGTCTCCCTGTTGAATCACCTGGTTTGCAGTCTCATCCCCTTCCGCGTCTCTGAACATAAAAAATACATCTCGTCACGCTTCACAGTATTACGATCACAGAAGGAAATCGTTGATAAAAGATCGAATGGAACTTACAAGGCCCATGCTAAGGGGTACAACTTGATGGAACTGTAAAGCTGCTTCAGTACCTCTCTGGGGAAGTTATCGCCGTCGTTCAGTTCCGAGAGGTTCTCGATAAATTCGTTACACGTCATTTTTCTGCTGACGTTTTGACCGTGGAGGTCCGTATTGAGCAGCATTATAGCACAAGTTAAAGTATGAACCGCGTCTAAAATAAAATGGAAGACCACTTAAATTTGGCAGTTTAATTAATTCTGACAATAAACGAGTTAATTAAAAATAATATATAAAGGTTTTAGAAGATCGTGTCAGCGCACAACAGAAATGAACACTTACCCTGAGAATTGAAAGCGCCCGGGTTGCAATCGAGATATCTCTTGGAAAAATGTACAAGAACCCTTTCTCTTTCCTGGGTTTCACCCGTCAAAGAGAACTGGGCAAGGAACTTTCTGAGAGCCACGTCCAGCGTGTTCTGTTCGAAGTTGAAGTATCTCAAGTATTCTTCGGCTACCGCTCTACTAAAGTCGTTGCTGCAAGCCAAAATGTTATAGCTAATACGTTACCGCCGGCACGGAAACAATTTGAGACACGGTGACTGGAGAAAACCACCGAGGGATTCCACCGTGACAGAGATTCGCGGTTAACTACGTACTTTTTGCTAAGGTGTCTAGAGACGTCAGACTTTTTGAAGCCGTCCAAGGAGTATAGCCTTTTAGCCAGTCGAACGGCCGATGGCAGATCCACCGCCTTCGGACTGTAGTGGAAACTGTGCAGACTTTCGATGTCGCTTTCCTCGTCGCAGGATTGTGGCGGCGACGCGCCACCGTGCTTGTCCTCGAAGTTTCCGATATTTAGAGCCTCGGTTTCGTCCTCGCTTTCTTTTAATTCCTATGAGACAATTAATAAAATAAACCAGCTTCTTCCTAAATAAAATAATACTCCGGCCTCGACAGTTTTGCTATCTCGTACATGTATTTGAAACAAATGACAACTGCTACATGACGATCAGATCAAATTCGAGATGTTCTCCGGTATGTGAAAAATGCGAAAGTAGGAATGGAATTCGTACCTGATAGCCAACGAACTCCGGCGTGACGTTGCCAGCGGTGTTGTTACCGGTCGGGCGTTGCACGGTGCTCTGCGCTGTGGACGTGGGCACCAGTTCCGGATTGCCGAGATTACCCCGTCTCCGGTTCTGCCTCGGACTGGTGTTCCTCGCCACGGCTGCGTCCTTGTCCGGCCCCTTCACCTGTATCACTATCCTATGCTCGGAGTTATCCTGCGTCGGTGTGTACGCGTTCGAGGTCGGTGGCACGACCGCCGCGGATGCTGCCGCGGCGGCTGTCTTCGTCTTGAGCCTCCTCTGCGGCGGCTCGCTGGCTAGTATCGTCGAGTCACTGTCACTCGGATCACTGACCATAATATCGCGTGCACTGAGTATGTCCATAGTTTCCTCGTCGTTGTAGTCGGGACTGGACATGTTGCTGATGGCCTCGGACTGGCTGAGGTCACCGTTGGTGGGATGAAGGCCGGAGGCCGAGGAGGTGGTCCCGTCGCCGGAGGGTCCCAGGGCCGCCGCGCTGGTGCCCGTGGGTACCGGCGGTGGGAACCTACGGGATCCAGAATTGGAGGACATGACGGAGGACGAGACCGAGGTAGGGGAAGTTGGCGATAAGGATCTCTGAGGGCTAGTGCCCTCGGTAGAGGAGTTACTCGACGACGAGGACTGAGAGGAGCTGCCGTTTTGGCAACAAGAGGTGCGCTCCGAGGCGGACGGCGAGCTGACCGGCGCGTTGTACGTCCAGACGATCCGCTCGCTGGACAGGCCCTGACCGCTGTCCGGCCGCGTGTCCAACAGGGTGTTCAGGCTGGACGTGACGTCGTCGTCAATGTCAATGTCCACCGCGCTCATCGACGGATCCTTTTGGAATTGCAAGTGGTCCTCGGAGCGCGAGGTGCGGACGAACCCGCTCGAGTAACCGAAACTCGCCGCGTTTTGTTTGCTATTATCGCTCTGGCCCGGGCACTGGCCGCTCTCACGCTTGCTGATCCCAACCGGTGAGGTGCTGGCCGAGTTCGAACCGGTGCACTTGTAAGCACGGTGATGGCCCAGCATCTCGTTAGGACTGGTTGGTACCGAGTTATGATGGTGGTGATTGTGATGATTATGGTGATGATGGGTATGATGATTGTTGTACCTCAGCGAGTCGACCTTCTTCTGGTGCTTCGGTAGCAGCCCGGTGCTCTGCTGCGTGCGCGACAGATTCAGCATTAGGTCGCCGGTCATCATATACGCTTCGAACCTGCACACCAGACACAGTGTTTCCAACAAATTCGACCTCGTCATTTTAATCATTGCACCGCCTTAGCGAAGTGAATCAACGATACAGACAAAGAATTTCTTCGAAGGAACAACAATTTTCAAAGCATTACCTCGGCGCGTTTTTTTGTCTGGTGAACTTGTCGCCGGAAAGAGGTTCCCATTGGGCACGCTCTTCCTCCTTGAAGCTGTCCACCGGCGGAAGAAGTGCCTCGAGTTCAGACGAGCCCGACGCATCGCTGTAGGACCCGTTGCTTCTAGTTGCATACTGCGTCGCGCCGGTAGGTTCATGGGGCGAGCCACCCGGAAGTTCCGGTGTATTGGGCTTCCTAAGCTCCGTGTTCTCACCGTTGCCCGAGGACACGGGCCTGGGGTTATTCGTAAGCGTCGTTGCCTCGTGGGAGATGTTCGACGAGTCCGTCTCGTCGCATGCCGGCTGCCCCGGTGACAACAGTCGACGCACGTGAGCCTTTATTGCCGGATCTAAAGAAACGACGTGGCTATCTTATCTAAAGGCTTTGGTAAATTTTTTGTTCGAGGGTCGTTCGAGGGCGATAACTCTCTTCCTGCAGTAAAACGGAATTCTTCAGGTTCTCTTCCCGGTTTAACGAGTTTAGCGATAGTGAAATGAAAATAAATGCGAGGATTGCCATTTCATTAGTTGGAAGACACAACTGACTTGAGGAAACACAAGCCTAAAAATTTTGGAATTTTTGACGCCTTTTAGAATATATTTCGATATTTTTCGATATTTTGGCAAAAAAAATTTTTTATTTTTCCGAGATTTTTCCAAGGGGTATCCCTTCAAATTTTGCGAAATTTTCGTTTTTAGCCAATAACTCCCAAACTGTTGGACATACGGAAAAATTGCATATGACCTTTCTTAGCATTATTCTTCCGACATCTGATTTCTTTTTAATTATAGGAAATGCGTTTCTAAGGTACATAAACTTTTGTGATTGACTATATAGCTAATACATCCTCAAGATGAACAAGGATAAGATTAGTAAAAGAGGTTTTAGTTTATAATTAGGCTTTCCTGCATCCAATAATTTTCAAACGAAAATAGATACGTGGAATTTCAAGAATTCCCTGATGAAGGGAGTGTTTGACACGAAATTGTTCGTATCAGGATTCAGATTAAACTTGAAATATAAAGATAGAAATCTTAAGCACCAAGATTATAGATAAGATTCAACCGAGCCCCTTACTCCACTTATCTGCCTACTTCTGACGTAGAAGATTATCCCGATACAATAAGAGGACGTGTTGGAGCACGTATACTGCCATTATAGAACTTCAGAACTGGAGAGCGAGTCACATTAATTATCTGATATGATGGATAACCGAGTAGAATAAATGATAGAAACTACAGATGTACTAACGCGTTTAATCTCTAAGTTTCATCACCTCACCGAGATTAACGTCCTCATCTAATTTTCAACGGATTCTCATCTTCCAACCGCTCCTACGTTTAGAACACTCCCATTACCCACAAAATGACCTCGTAAGACGCCGAGCAAACAACCACGTTTCCTCGTCCAAGACTCGTCAAAGCGACACAGCGGCTCCAAGGGACCACAATTCGATTCCCGAGGAAGCTCTCTCTCTCTTCTTAGTAACGCTCGCGTATTTCCACCGCGAGCGGAACGAGGCAAACTGGGACAGGCTTTTCGCGCGAGGCGTATGCGAATACTGGCGCCTGATTAAAAAGCCGCAGCAGCTATTTCGTTCTTCTCTCTGGTAGCGGCAGAAATTTATTGCCAGCGCGTGGAGCGCATCAAAGCGTCCAGGAACGGCGCCAAAGGAAACTCACGCCGGGCGTTCGCGAGCCATCCGCCTAGAAATGTGTCGGGGAAACTTCGTTCTAACGGGGGTGGCTGACCGGAGGCGACGCACGGACTTTACGATGCACTGGAACCCGCCCTTAAATTAATCGGTCATCGCCGAGCAAGAATTGTTGGTCGACTCTTTTTTAAAAATTCATACTACAGACGATCATTATTAAATTGCACTTTACACCCTCACTCGTCTACTACAATTTTTTTTCGTAATAACATGCAAATGCAGCTGCGCCTACATTACTCGGTGATACCGAGTGTTGTCTCGCGTTTACTATGTACACCACGATGAGAGCAAGTGCTCAGCGGACCGAGTTTATGATCCGTCACCAAGCAACGTGGTATCTAGCGGAGTCTGCCTCCAAGGACGGCATTTCCTCAGGACGCAATAGAACGAATGTTTCACCGCTACACGTTTATTAACAGCATTGTTTGACACCGAAGAGTGGTTTGCCTTTGGCATGGCAGAGGACGAGACGTAGAATGAAATTGGAAATGTGACAAAGAAATACAAATCTAATGAAAAATTGTTCTTTAAGATAATTTGTTATTTTCACTTCGTCAAAAACTGTTTGTCAGTCTGAGAACAAACTTTTATGAGAGAAGCATTGAAAATATTATACAACATAATGGGAATTTTAATGATGTAAGTTGAATACCTGAGATATTGAGTAACAATTGCTTAACGTCTAAAAATATCATAATTACTCACAGCTGTATTGTGACTCAGGTAATTAATCACACGTTTGGTACTCGATTAGATGGAAAAATAGATACTCGTCTTTAGATAAGATTTTTAGAATACGTACAAGATTACTTCATACAGAAATATATTTATATCACTCCGATCTCTCGTATCTACAGTTTTTTCTTTTTCAATAATTTTTCACTTGCTCTAAAGTAAATAAAGTACGCGAACACCGGGAAACGGTTGGAAGCGACAGCGGGAGTCGAGAATATTTTCCGCGATCGAATCACAAGTTCCCCGGTGATCGTCGTTGAGGATCGTGCATCACCGTCCCGCAGACCGTGAGCAATCAATGACTCGCTCGGATAGAAAATCGTTTGTTATCCCGAACGCGTCGTTTGATCGTTGGCTCGTGCGCTCGCTTAATTACCCGCCCTCGGCGCTCTCTCTTTTTTTACCCTTTCCTTCCTGCTCGCGCGGAGCCGACGCGTGGTCGCCGCCAACAGCTGGTTGCCGACTAAGGTGCGAGGAAACGCACGCATAGATAAACGCATGCACGCATTACACACGGGTTGCCGAGCAGACGCGCGATCGCGTTTTCCATCGGTTATTATCGCGTAATTCTATTATTACGATCAGGTTCAAGTGCGCCTATATGCGCGTGCACTGGGTTCTATGATTAGAACGCGAGAGTTCACTCACCAGCTGACGTTCTCTATCGGCCAACGCGTTACCTCTCGACTGTGGTGACCATTTAAAATTGATTTCATGTACAGTCATTAACAGAGGCCAAGAGACAGCGCAAATCTTTCGCATTTATGGAAAATTTGATACGAAATACAAATTAGAAAAAAAACTGGCTATGAATTAACAAATATTAGTACGGATTGTGATATCTTCAAGTATACATATAGGGTGTCCCATGGAAATGAAACAAACTAAACGGTTGTAAATAGAAAAATGTACTAGGCAAAAGTTAAATGGTATTAGATGGTGCACGATATGCAATTACTATTATTTACTAACATACTACTGCCCTAAACTTGTTAAAAAGTTATCGTAAGTAAAAGTCTTTAACTAATAAGTTTAGGGTATAAGTATGTTACTTTTATGCAGAGCATAAAAAACTGCATCGATCGATGTACTCAAGAACATAGATTTCTATTTAAAAAAAGGATGCAGTTGCATTATTTCGATGTACAAAAGTGCATAAAATTGTTTGCATATCATCCACGATCTAATACCAGTTAACTATTATGTGTCTATTACATTTTGTTCTATTTACAACCGTTTAAGAGCTACAGCTTGTTCCAATTCCATAGGACACCCTGTATTCATGAGCACACGTGATAAGACGTATGTCTGTGATTACTAGGTCGAACTTAAGGGACCGTGACAATTACAGCAAGTCGGTAGACGTCAAGGAAGATCTACGTTCGAACAATCTACCGCGCCGAGTCAGTCCCTGTTCACCTTGATGACGCAAACGAATCCTAAATCAATTACGTCTCCGCGAGCAAGGCGCGCATCGTCTAAATGAATTAGACCGCTAAATCTTAGGATAGTTTATGGAAACTGAACCCGAGCGCACAAAAGCGAACTTGCGAATGATATCGCAATTGAATTGAGTTATCAGCAAACATTTGACGTTTAAAAATCAAAACTGACACGTTTCACAGAATCCGATTCTCGTTTCGAATATAATTTCCTATACTCCAAAACCAATTGCGACAAACGTGCCGCGGCATAATGATGCCGTAAATTGATAATATTATATACGTTCTATCAAATCATTATTAAACAATTTCCTGCGATAAAAACGTAATTAATCTTATCGGACGCCACTAATTACTTCACGCTGTCCCTAACCGTTCAATCATTTTAATATCCGGATTGTATCTATCAATTAACTTAATCCGATTAATCAGTCGCGCTTATTAACCATATTTACGATTATATTCACATAATTCGATATTTTAAACGTCTCTCCTGTGGTTTCGCCGTAGGCATTCAATCTCCTCCGGGGGGATTAAACCGTCACGAGCTAACCCGGGCGAACTCGAGGCCTGATAGCAAAGACGATTGTCGACCGTAGAGAGAAAAAAAGAAGGGAAACGACTCGAATCTCTGGCATTGTGTCATTAAATTACCCGGCCGTGGCGAGTCATCAACACCGCGACACTGCAATTACTCTGCCCTTCAGAAACGCGTGATAGAGTACCTACGTCCATTAGAGTTGAATTTCTTCCGTATACGTAAACGTATCGTAAACGAAGCGGTTGGAAAAGTGAAGCCAAAGTGTACTTAACAGTATGATGACATCGAACGAAGAAAGTAATTAGATATTACAAGGAACTCTGCCATCAATTATAATACTTCTCCATTAATCCTGTGCAACTATCAACCAGTTTAATCTTAACTTGATTCATTATTCATCACCGAAGTTGTTAAGCAATTTTTTTTCTCTCTCTCTAATCACTGACCGACTAACCGACAATTTTCAACGACTGAGGAAACGCGTGTTAATCTCGCACAGTGTGATTATTCACGTCGACTGTCTGGATTGATACATGATTTAAGAACGATGAGTCGCGTGGCTCTATTTCTTCTCCCGTTAATTCTCGCCTTTAGTCAAATTAGCTGATAGGAGTTCATTCACATTTAGCGCAGCTTTTAAATCGATACGTCCCTCTTTTTTCCCCGGGGCCGGCGCCGTGAATCCCTTTCGCACACAGGAGTGAGAAAAGCCAATTAGTCGACGTTCGGCCACTGAACATTACCAAAGGAAACCCGATTAGGAAACCGACAATCAATATATTATACCAACATTATGCGCATTAAGGCAACTATGATAACTATTTAACAATATAAATTTCGAATTCAAACAATTCAGAAAATTTGTCGACCATCTCGAAATCCTAATTTTATCACTGAGCCCAAGCGAGTTGGCAGATAGAACAAATTGAGTTGCCCGGACAAATTCAACAATTCATTCCACCGCGTCCCTCTCGTAGCATTTAGATTAGGTTATCAGAGAGGCTTTTCCTATCGTCCCCTGAATGGACGGAGCAATCATTCAACAGCGTCATCAGGCTGTTCAATGCGAACTTCATTAGGTCGGGACCACCGCGCTCGGTTGGTGGTGGAAGCTACCTACCGTCGAATGAATTCAAGGTGCGCGTGCACTGATAACGATAATCCGGTGTAAATCGACTAAACACGACGGTTCTGTGAGGTAACATCCTATCTGGTCCCTTGGTAAGTTTACACAATGACTCTACTCACGCAACGCGGCCAGCTGTCCGCTGATATTGCATGTTTGCGTATTTGCAGCCTGATTGATCAGGCTCCGAAACGATTTTCGTCAGTCAACTGTTAAATATCATTAGCAGTACAATAACAACGTAAATTTTCACTTAATAGATAAACATGTATTAAGTTATTTATAATATTACTAGTATAAAATAATAAATTGTACGTATGCACGGATCTAGTATAAAGTGGAAACGTAATAGACATGTAATTTAATCAAGTTAATTGTAATTTAATTCTGACAGATTAATAATGCAACATCATGTTAATATTAATGTCAATGGTAATACGTGAACCAAGACGAGGGAACGTAATAATAAAATAAGAATACGAGATTTAATGAATGGAATGATTCACAGATTGAATCTTTAAACAATCTAGAATAATGGAACTATTTATTGACTTAGAAATATGCAAAAGAAAGCTACTTGTAAAATTTAAAATCAATTCATGGATTTTTTGAAACATTTTTTGATATTTTGAGAGAAAAACAATATAACAAATTTTATCAAGTTTTATTGTTCAAAAACCAATTGGACGTTAACAAGTAAACTCTTTTCATCCAAAATCATTGTTGCTCCGTCGTCTGGTTTTTTTTTCGTTATAGGAAATGCATTTTTCTAAAGTAAATAAATTTTTGGGATTGATTGTATAGCCAATACATCCTTAAATAACGACAATAGATAAATGTAATATCTCAATGATTTGAACTGGCGCATTCAGCGACCAAATTATTTCACATCCATGGAAACCCGGAGAGTATCCTAACAGCGCGGGTCACTTTACTTCTCGGGATTCCAGGCGTACTTTCGACCGCGAGAATCCAGGAATGCGCGAGCGGACTTGAATTCCGGATGATCGGAAAACCGGCTAAGAAATCCGCCGCCCACGCACCGCCGATTACGCTTATCGACGGAATGCGAATGCCGCAGTCCACACGATATTTCTTTCGCATTTAATCCCGCGATCACTTTCACCGGCGAACGCGCGACGTTCGCTAACGCCGAGCGTAAGTAATCGCCGCACCGGAATAATTGGAACGAGCGACTATAATGAAGGTAAATTTGTATAATAATTACTGAGCCGGATGAGAATATCCTTCGGAGGGGATCTATGACCATGTTAATTGATGACTGCAGCGCTTATGCATTTATGCGAGTTAAAATGGATGGGAGAATCAGTTATAAAGAAAACACGCGATGATAATGACTATCGATATGAAAATTAATACAAGAATAAAACTGCAAATAATTAGTGTCTTCATTTTCCAAGCTCCGAGAAGTCTGATCTCTTATCATTTAAAGAAGCCTTGACATTTCACTCGAACATTAGTCCAGCCTCAAGTTCTGAACTAATACGCAGTCACAACATCGTTATTATTTTGCCAATTCTATTTTAATCTCAGAAAGAAATTCTTATCGCGGAAAACCAATGCGTCAGTGATTCCAGATTACAGTAATCATTGCGTTCTAGCAATAATAGTGACGTCAGGTTGAAACTTAAATTGGAATTGCGAATGAGTTTAACGTCAATGCAGTTTCTACTTTAGGAATTAAGGGATATGTAGCATTCAACTGAGAAGTCGTTCATCATCTGAGAGGATTAACCTCGTTTCGCAATTATAACGAGCAAAATCTTCTTCCAAACTATGTCTAGACTGGCGAGAACCTCAGAGCTTAAAACCTGTAGACGTGTTTACAAATCTCATTATCATTAATTAATTACAGTGCTACTTATTTCTGAAATTTGATGAATACTCGTTTAAACTATATCCAGATTTTAGATATTAAATTATACAATATTAATCTGATTTAATTCATGTAGGAATTTCATTTTAATAACTAATTTCGAGTGAAATAAAGTTAATTATTTCTGCAAAATTTTCCTAACTGTGGCTTGGTCCCAGTGTGCGTCGATCAGAATTCAAGAAACCACCCACGCGAAACCAACATCCCCTTCGACACTCGACTCGACGGCTCGCTCGGTTTCTAGCCGGCTCAATGCCGGTCTTTACCCGAATAAAAGAATTTGTAGACGCACTTCACTTACCCCTTCGCAGCTTCAGGGTGACGGGGTCCGACGAGAGCCGCAGACATTTCAGCACTGAAACATAAAACGACGTAACGTCAGACAGAAAATACGTTAGGGCAAAGGACAGGAAATATCGCAGCGTGTGAGAGGCGGAAAAGCATGGTAAGCCGTAGGCCAGCTAGACCCTCTGAACTTAAGCCGAGCCGTCGGCCGCGTGTTTGCAAGCGGACAAATTTGCGGACGTTCTATGTTTCGCAGCTTCGAAAAGGCTGGTCGTCCTCATGGTCGAATTAACGAAAGGAACGGGCGAAGAGGAGGCCTGCTGGGTCGCAGTTTTAGGAGGAAGGTTAATCGTCCCGGACGAGGCGCACAATTTTAAGCCGGGCAAAGTGGAAAATTTCACTTGACGAGGAATGAAAGGAAGGCACGTTTCACGTGTGTGATTAAGATATCAGTAGGGGAAGGTTTAATTAAACGTTGGGAGAATCGATAATCATTGCTTCAAAAATATTACGATTAAGAGGATCAGGGCTTATCTCAGTTACTCAGTGTCGTTAATTAAATATGAAGGTAATAATAGATCATTGGATTATCCACGTTTAAGATATGAAATACATTAGCCAAACAACGATTAAAATGATTAGTACGTCGCAGATGATGCGACCACCATCGTTGGCGAATTGAATACCCGTGAAACGTGCGAACAGGAGGGATGCTTTAAAGCCGTGAATAAATTTGCTCTTCCTAAAGACTTTCGACAAATTTTTGGACCCTCTGTCATCGTGACGTCAGGCGAGACGAAGCACGCTGACGTCTATCTTTTCAGCCAAGTTTACCAATTACACACGCGGAACGCAAACGAGCCGAGCGGAGCCGAACACGGTTCACTGTTCACGGAAGTGAAATATTGCTTCGTGTCTGTCCGCGATGTCAGCTTGTCAAATTAAACGGGAACCGGAGGAAATACGGACGGCGGGAGGCGGACCGATATTGCGCTGCCTCGGCTGCTTTACGCTCGACCACACGATTTCGTCAGTGTTCCTTCTGCCAAGCTCGTGAAACGAGCGCCGGCTGAAAACGTATAGTTTTGGGAGCCACCGCGACGTTACCCTCGTATCTGATAAAACGGTGACGCTTCTCGAGACCGAAATAGTGCGTTCGTTACATGAAATCATTCTATGCCTCATCCAAGTTTATATAATTGCACATAATTTTTAAACATGAAACCAAAAATCTTAACACTGATTAAGATAATAAGCAGAGGAGAAAGAGTATATTCACAATGATGTTGTATCAATTTATTTGTAGGATGCAATTACTCAAATTCGAAGTAAACGAGTTAAATGTTATATACTGAGATCCTTAGATTGAATTCGAAAGGGATCAAAGGACGTGATTTAGTTAGTTCCTGGCGAAAAGAAATTCTATTTCCCAATGCCACGGGGTAATTCGACCCCAGAACGGTGGACGGGTAACCGAATTGTCGATATAAAATTAATTAAGCAGGGTTCATTTCGTTTGATGCCTGCTGGCCACCGGTAATACAGTCAATCAAGTGTCCCATTTCCACGCGCGTATGTCGCGAATTCGAACGTCATCGGTGTCATCGTAAAATTTCTAACTAACAACCTCCAGAGTTTCATCCAGATGTATGAAATATCGTATATAGCGGGAGAACGAAACTCATAAACGAAACTTTTGTTGCGAGGGTGGAACGTTTTCTTTCGCTCGTCCCAAGTGATTCACCGTCGTTCTTAACTGGATTCTTACTCGAAATTACTTGTAACTTTGAACCCAATCTGTTCGTAATTTTGTTGGGCTCTTCTCCGCCGCATCGGCGCCGGAATGAAATTTCTTTTTCTGGAACCTCGTTTAACTTGCCTCTCTTCTTGTCACGTCGCGAATAAATTAATCCAACTTCTTCTTCTATCCCTTTCGTACTAATTTTCACAGACAGAACATAATTGCGAAGATTTATGCCCTTTTTACGGAGCAGAAGAATGTATCAACTTGACAAAAGTATTTATTACTGCTAATCGTTTAGGATAACAAAACGAAAGTTAACTCCGCATCCTGTCTTCGCGTCAATCGATACTCGTAATTAATAATTAGCTTAATCACAAAGGCTTCTACGAATAAATACTTATCGGATGACGAATGGGACAATGGGACACTTGACAGATCAGAAGGTTAAACCAAACGAGGCGAACACAATTTCATTCATTAACCGGACTAAAAGGGACAGGCTTTACACTCACGTACATATACGATTTTCATTGGTGTTCTCCAGTTCAATTTCGATAGCCATCCCGTGTCGAAAAATGTTTCCGTGAATTTATTCATTACAAGCATGATTCAAACAAAAAAATTCGAAACTATACCGACAGGACAAAATACAACCAGGACGAAACGAACATCGAATTCTAACATGGAGAATTTTGCATGATAATCAAAGTAATTTTTGTACACGAAATATTTTTTGGCAAGTGAATAAAAAAAAAATAGATGTAAGTCCATCTCGTTCTGATTCGATATCGGAAATAAAAATCTCTTTTAATAAGGGAAAAAGAGGAGGTGTCGTGGAAAGGGTAGGAGAAAAGGAAGAAGCGAGCGAGTGCGCTCAGTCAGTCGAATATGTATTATATCGCGAGAGATAGAGGGAAGAGCTAAAGCAGGTCGTTTCTTCTTACCTTCTTTAGTACTGAATCGGTTGACATCGACTTCGTTCACCCTGAGTATGACGTCACCGGCCTCGACCTGCAAAACCAACAGACACCGTTTCTATGAAAACGCATTCCGCAGAAAGATCAATTGGTCAGGGATGACGAATTGGTGTGCGCGCCTCGGCAAAAGCCTCTATGTGCCGCCCGCTTTCGGCAATTCGACGATGGAAACGAATTCCCGGCGCCCCTGGCCAATCGGGAACGGAACCGCTAATATGCAAATTCGCCCGCATTATCTGTACGCCTATTACTATTCCTCGCTTTTCATATTAGTAGTCTTCTTCCTTTTTTTAGAACAATTTCTACTTACCATCTGACCGAATTTCGATTTAGAACCCATAGAATATATCGGCATAATGTATAAAAAGAAAATGGTATTATCAGTTTTAGCATATTAATGCACCGGGGCAAGTTCGTTAAACAATAGTATACTATTCCTATTCTCGTTGAAATCCGTTTCACTATGCTTTATTGTCGTACTTATCTAATACCATGTAATCTTGAAATCATCATCTGAATGGAACGACCGAGGAAGACTTTACATAACCGAAGCCCGTAACTAAGATTATTTAATCAAAAACTGTAGTATCAGCTGCACTGCATCAAATCATCACAACAAACGTATTGTGTTTCCTGAACTACTTCACTCATTACGCGTTCGCAAATTGCAGTGCATTAATAAAAATATATTTCAACCGTAATTTGTTTTATTTCCTTGGTGTATAAAAATTGCAAAATTGCGAGATTTACAATTCAAAGTAATAATTCATTTTGCAAGTTAATCGTACGAGTGGGTGGACAAGGTGTATGCGAATATACTGCGAAACGTATTTCAACGGGTGACTGGTTGAAATACAACTTGCACATACGTAGCTGCGCGTAGTTATTTCGCGGTAGGAACTTCAATGGAAAAGTAGTTTCCCCATTTCTCGTCGCTGTCCCTTCGATTCCCCGGCCATACAATCCCCAGGGAAATAGTCGTCGTCACCACCGGGTAAGAAGAAAACGAAATTGTTTACAAGGAGCCATACGTCATCGACGGGAGGGCAGATAAAACCGAAACCAGGTGGCAAACTCTGTTAGCACAAAATCCTTCCATCTCCCTTGGGCAAATAGAGGAGCAGCTGGCGCGTGCAAAGAATTCAGAGTCACCGTGGGTAATTAAACAATCGGGCAGCCGGATACGGAAGCGTTCTGTTTTTTCTCAGAACTCAGTCGTAGAAGCGTGAAATTAATATTCTACGCCAATTTCAAAGAATCGCTGCAGTTCATTTAGTATGCAATGCACCATTCTTCCATTACGGAGTACGACGTTTATCATTTTGCAGTGTAAAATAAAATTAAGTACACCAGACGAAGAAATTCACTTACGCCATTGGAAGGTTTGAAGAGAGCCAAATATTCCAGCAACGAGTGATTATCACGAGGGGCGTAGGAACAAATTGTTCGTAGAATTTAACTGAGCCACGTCAATCAGGGACGGGAAGGACAACGAGGCATGCAATCTCGCAGGTTTATCGCGGGAGGCGCACCGTCTTTGACTGGGAACTGGGAACACGAGGCTAGACGGGGGCCTGCACGTAACTCGCGTGTACGTCGCATGCACTTATGCATCGTGCCTTGCGCTAACAATAAGTGGTACTGCAACGACGATACACATGTGTGCGGCTAGCGCATATACGCGACCGTCTCGGCTCTATTGTCTCGATGCACGCCCGTTTAGCCCCGTTTCATACTTCCCCTTGAATCATTGTTCTACGCTCAACGGAAAATGTAAATCTTTCAAATATACTGAACGCTACGCGTCGACGATGCTTCATTCTCGTTTATCCGGCTGAAAAATTATGTGAGAGTAGGCAATCACAAGGTATTTCCAATCTTCGTCGAAGGAACAAATATCAATTTTTTATATATATTAATGAACGATCAAAGGGCAGTTTCCTTAATATATTCTTAGTATTTATTTCATAATTATGTAGATTAATTTATTTAATCTTGGTTGGTCCGACTTTTTGATAAAATAACCACTTGGAAGTGTCGTAAGATAAGCAGGGCGTATGCCGTGTTAGAATCTCAGTAAAAATGTGAGAAGTACATTAGGAGAATAGATCAATTCGTTGGAACGAAGCTGCGCAATGGTCCGTGTTCACGAATGCATTATCCGCGGCGCAGGCTAATTTACCCGGTAATTTAATTGCAATTGCCCGGTGACGTACGTCGTATTTCAGCGTTCGCAGTATACATACATATTTACTGCTCGGAGCGCGACGAACACGTGTTCCTAAGCCTAGATTATCATGAGAACAGAAACATATTTGCTATTTCAGAGATGTCATAACTATATACGTCCGCGAATAAACACGATCGTAAACCTAATACGCATATCTCGGACAATATATATATGTAACTGTCGACAGTCTTGCTAATTTACTAATTTCCTTTGAGAAGGGGATTGCACGTTGTTAATGTCTCTTTGTCCATTATGTTAAAACGTAAAACTGGATAACATACAATGAGCAATGAATAACAAGTAAGCGAAGAATAAGAAGAAACCGGCTAAGCTGTCTGAATAATAGCCGGGGATGAACTGTAGGGTGGAAGATTATGCATTCAACATGCATAATGAGAAAAGTCCTGGCTGGAACGATGCCCTCTCAATTTTCAATGAGTGCCAAAAGTTTCACTCGAATCTTTTTCATGCCCAGCGCTACATGCAATGCATCGTAACGAACAATACATCTCGGCAGATAAAGTATGAAATAAACTGAATGTATTTTTTTCATTACTTCCAATGTGTTAACATTAAACTGTGAATTCTTACGCAAAATAAAACACTTAAATATGCACTCAGCTTTTGATCAATTCTGATTCTGTTATCGTTCATCTGTAAAAAAACAGTAACTCGCATGAAACGTAAGCTTTCAGCTACTTTTAAATGACCGAAAGAGCTAATTCCCATCGAATCACGGAAACGTATTCATAAACGGATGCTGTTGCGTCTCGTAGAGACGCTCCGTGACGTCCGCGAGATTGGCATGTTTACACCGAATTTCAGGCACGACGAATCTCTCTGACCTGTTTAGTCGAAATCTATTACGGAATGCATCGACGCGTTCACGAGTGCAGCCTCGAAATTGATTTACGAGCTGAAGGCTTGTCGGGCTGCTCGACCTTCGTGTCCTAACGCCGTGCCGCTGATCGATGTGCGAAATCGCGTCGTAACAGCGTCAGAGTGCACGCGTTCCTTCCACCACGTGTCGTTTCACCCCCTGCAGTAATCGTATATACAATTTGAAGCATGAATTAGGAGTCACACGTCTAGTACGCATATTTTGTATTTCGTACAGATTAATACATATTTATTGTATCAACTGCATTACTCATCAGACTTTATTCAAGGCACAGATTATTCTCTATTGTTATGATGAATAGCAACAAGAAAGGAAACTGAATCTTGTCCACGCAATTTGGACACAAGTGGGCATCTCTAGACGTCCTCATCCAGAGAGATGCTCACTTTCCAAAGTGCTCGCGTTATTGCCCCATTGTCGGGAAAAAGCTCGCATCATCAGCTTAATTCATCTTGACCTCATTAACTGACGCTCGAACGGTCGTTCGTTCCGATAAATCTGGGCCCGATAACATCGTCGTCGGCCAGGCAGCGTAGAAAGTTCACCCACGCCGCGCGCGTCTCGTGAAAGTATGAAATCTGCCGCACCGCCGGTGGCGTTACGACACAATTTCGTGGGAGAAGTTCGGCCTGGCCAATTGGCTGGAACCGATCCCACAGTTTATCGTGGCCGCCGATTTCTGCGTGGGCAGCTGCATCGATTGCACGCAACCCTCCCGAGGTAATTGCTGGTTCCACCGAATTTACGAGTTCGCACGGAACTGGTTCTTCAAGGAGTGTGCAACCGAACAGTTTCGTAATGGAAACAAGTCGGGCCGAGATTTCGATCCTTATCAGAGAACTACCTATCGCGATTGGTCATTCAGTTTCCAGGGTTTCGCTCGTTACATTGATCGCGTAGGCTAATCAGTAAATACGTTAATGCCCATCAGGTTGGTATTCTTACAGACGCTTGATTAATTGGACGGCGGCCAGAGGGAAAGCCAGAAAGCCCGACGTGATCCCGCAGCTTTTACTCCTAAAAAATTCATTCGTTATAACAATTTCCCTTTGCATACCGAATCACGTCCGTTTAACACAAGCTGTTCGAGGTCCAAAACATGGTTGCCACAGTCTACACTTACACAACATGCTGACATAAACTAAAAAAGAAACAAAGTACACACGCAACACTGAAAGAACAATAACGAATCCCCTCGCATCGACTTCGTGGCACGTACAATATTATGTACATCACTATTTCAAAAATCAAAAGACGCTTGAACGAATCTTCAGTTTTATCTGATAAATTCATACAGCGTTGAAGAGTCTTCAATCTTAGAAGGTTGATTTTTATAATCTTAAGATAAATCATGATTCGTACGATGAGCGAAATTTGAATTGAGAGTACAAGTCGACCCGGAAGACGCTCCCGGATTAATCATCGACGTGTGTATACGTATATCAGGATAACAGTGACCGCTGGACAAAGCGTGTTCACCTGATAAAGCGGTATATAGTCGACGTAATCGAACCTGTCCCTGCGTCTTGACAAGTATCGATCCAGGGGCCGGCAGCAACACCAGAGGCAGTAGGCAAAATTGGGCATTTGGCGTAAGGCACGTCCCTCGCTATGCGACGCAGTCGATCACGGGACAAGAAACGCGAACACGAGCACGACCACCGACTACGTGGATACCCCGTGAACGAGCCGACTGACCGAGAATCTCGGACACCGATCAGAATGCAGACGGAGAGTCCCGGTTGCCAGCCGAACAGTATTTTTGTCTACCGTGACATTGACTTTCCTCGGGCCGGCGTCCAACTTAAATCATAGATAGAGTACGCGCCATCCGGCTAAGGAATTGCGTATTGAACATGATAGAACGCGAACCGACAATCGACGAGCCTCAGCCGCTGCGTTG